CAATTAATCCAAATGGCTTTTTTTACCCACTTTCTCTGCACTTCGATTCGTTATAACTGTTTCAATACCTGGGTAAGAATAGTTATCAGGTGTTGTAATTACTGGTATACGTTGCAGATTATGTAGAGATAATGAACACTTTCAATATCGTATATCCACTGCTGGACGAAGGCCCCGCCATGCTAGGCCAGTGATAGGGGTTGTTTGACTATACTTCCCCAACTGAGTGTTGGTGATAGGTGATGCTGCGGGCCGATAAAAATATTACTCGCTGTTCATGTCATCAGTTGATGAGAATCAACCTCGGGTTACCATGTTCACAGCACATCACGCTAATCACTGCACCACCACTCAAACTAAGTTGCAGGTCATTTTTAAAAGGTTGGGACTCTAGGCTATGACATTGCCACGCTGCGGAATGTTTTTGTGAACGATGTCACGAGAACTTGAGGTCCAACTGTAATTTATCAAAAGGAATAAATGAACCTTATGGCGGAACCCTAGGGTTCCATAAGCCCCCGGCTATTGCATAAACTGCGTTGTGGCGTCATTGTATATCTGTCGAAGGCGAACGATACAGCAATCGATTCCTCACGACGAGTTCTACATGATGGGCTAATCAAAGTTTCAAAGTTTGGCTTCTTCTGCACATTCGTCCTCGCTGCGCTTAGACGACACGACAACAGAATGATCCGCGCCAGGTGGGTCGCGGCGTTTATGTGCGCGGTGGGACAGAGTCCCCAAAACTAAATTACCGTAAATATGATTTTGACTGCATTAACCACAATGCTTGACCACAAGCATTGTGGTTAATGCAAACATGATTCCTTGCAAAAGGTTTCAGTTTGGTGTTTTCACATCTTAACACCTGTTTTGTTGCCAGAGAAAAGGGGAAACCCTATTCTCATGTATTATTAGTAGCAGTTTGGACTGTGCAGTTCAACCTATGGAGATGCTCACAACAGAGATGTTGGCGAACATCTGGGACTCTCTCAAACATCGATACCACACGCTGTGAAAGAGGGGCTATCGGGCGTAATGTCACCAATTTTTCGTTCGATATTTTGTTCTCTTTCAGGCAGTGTTAATGATGAGCGTGAGCTTTTGCACACAATGTGTGTCGCCAATGCCGTGGTGCACATGGGGAGGTTTTGAGGGATGAAACTCGTGTCATCAAATCTTCATACTACCAGACGTGTGCACTGTACACGTATAATTTTAACAATCTCAAAATGTTGCGCCGTGAAAATAGATGATAATTTTACGTGCGTCCTGTAAATTTATCTCTAATTGGTTCATCTAGAACGCCATCCCAAGACACGGCAAGCCAATTCTATGGTCCAAAGTGTCGTTGCATGGGTCAGCGGTACAACAATAGACCCAACAGCCTTGGTGATAAGCGTCCCTGTATTTGTTCTTTAACAATTGGCTACACTTGCAGCCGGCTTTATTGTTCGTTCCACCTTCCGCTTTAGTAACTCGACGTACGTTTATCACGCGGTTTAAAAAAACGAAATTGTAAATAACCACGGTCAGTGCAGCCACATCACGATGATGCTGCACTGCAGGTGCGAATTGAATTGTGGACCGCGCACAAACTGGCTCGCCCTGTTACCCTTAATAGGACCATCCACTGTCAAGATTACCACCACCAGAGCATACACGTACTTCAGCAACACGCGTGTATGATGACAACACACCCACGCGTGCTATTGTTTTGTGCGCACGCCAGTGCGTGCGAGTTCACGGCCGGCATGCCTCCTATTGTTGCCGTAGCGGTGTCAGATATACGAGTGCATTTCTATCGGCGTCGTTTAAGAACGGCATCGGTAATATGCTCTCGGAGACCTTGTTCAACAGATTTTCAACCACCATGGGAGCCCGTTGATGTTCGTTGGGTGTTTTTTTTTTTACAGAAATACCAATACCGTCATTTTGAACAGACAGGTTTTGTTTTTGTTGACAGCGGCAAATCTGTTTTCAGGCGTGACGATGCGGATTAGTACACCTGGTTCACACCCCTGAAACATTCCGTCACCGAGTCTTTAACGTAAAATTTTGAGCAGATGGCGTACTTTGATTAACACAGCAGAAATCACTGGGTTTCCTTGGTGTTATAAGAAATGTACCATTGACACCTTACAACTTGGCTAGATGGTGAGTGAACCATTGTGATCTCCGACTGTATGATACCATCGGACGTAAAATATAACGACGGAGACTGTAAGCTGAGATTCTGCTCCGATTTGAGGCTGTTTTTAATTCACTATATGCATATAGGCACAAAGGTGGATTCTGTTCGATTTTGGTGAATATATAGCAATGTATGATCTATCTACATCATGAGGCCTCCTTTGCCAGTACCAAAATATAATAATAGGGTTTTTTCCCTTTTTTTCTGGCAACAAAACTGAAACCTTTTACAAGGAATCATGTTTACATTAACCGCAATACCTGTGGTCAGAATGCAAACAAAAAACACTGATAATGTATACATTGTCCTAGAAGTTGATTGTCTCTGGCGTGGACCAATCAATTTCAAGGACAATGCATACATGATCAGACTGGTGGAACCTTTAAATCCAGGACCCTCATGAAACACATCTTGAGACACATTGAGGCATTCTTGGATACATAAATATGATTTTATTATTGTTGGTATTATGTTTTGACTCAAAAGGGGGGTACGACCGACGATTGCCCCCATGTTTATTTTTGGACGGTTTATTTTGTCTGCCCCTTGTGATCGGGACTGAGACCGCAACATTCGTTGCACATGAGTGCCGTTTGACCACAAGAAGGCGAAGGTGATTTGTGTTCGCACTGAGCCTGGCGCTGGTGAAAATACAAAATGCTGCGTTAGCACCCTTGCAAAAGCATCATCCCTGTGAGCCACTGAGCCACCGCTCTCTTGCGCCCTGTTGCTGTTGGTGACGGTCGCTTCGCTGGTTCCTCGAGAGTGGGGGAGCAGGAGTGGAAAGGCGAATTGGTGAGGTGTGTGAATTATTGCGGTAGAAAATTAAGAGATGATCGTTGAAAGATTATATTTGAATTTTCTTTTTTTGTCAAATCGCTCCGTGTCCTTCACACGTCAGTGCCGAGTTGCCAATGCTGAGAACATGAGTTTGAAATCCAGGCAGTCTCCAGCGATTAAACTAGAGTGTAGCGCGAGGGTTCTCAAGCATAGCAAGTTGGCAGCTGAAGGCCAGCCGCGAATGACTGCGCAAAAAAAGCATCACACGAAATTTGTTTTTGCACTTCATCCGGCTAAATTCTAGCAGTGAGAATGAAAAATATTATTTTGACTCATGCGACAAACATTATTCTCGTATGTAGAAAGTGTTGTCCTTTACTGTGCTGACCATGGGTCATTTGAAGGGATCTCAGAGACAGCTCTATGATATCCGCTTACCTCGGCCACTCTCTAACACGAAGTGCTGCATTGCTCTGCAAGAGATTTGAACGTTAATTTCGTCTCGTGACAAGATACCAGATAACACACTGGGAGTAAAATTGGGGAAAAAAATTATAAACGGTAAAAATATACATTGTCATAAAAAAGTTAAACGTCACCTTGCTCAGATGAGCAGTAAGGTGCTTCTGCTGTGGGTCCTGAGTCAGCGAGTGGTGTAAATTCCACATTTCTTTGGCAGGCCAGCTTCTCCATAGGACCATCACGTTGATTTCCTACAAAGTGGTTTTCATGTTATTGACTCCTAAAGGATGATAAGGGCTGAGTTGACCCCCATCTAGGATTTTAATTTGCAATCTTCTGATTATGAGTTAAGAGCTGGAACAACAGTGCCACATCTCTGTATAATTCGGAATTACAACAAAATAATAAAAACTCGCCTCTGTAACCATAATTGCCAAGTTTTCTCCCTGAAAGAAAGTGATTTTATAAAAGAAATAACACTATTTTATTATTTAATACATTCCCACACAGCAAAAACAATATTGCCATTGAATAAGCCTGATAATGTAAACTATTAGAAGCTAAACTATTTTATTTACGAGGGTTAAGCCCACAGTTATTAGCTATTTTTCAAAAACGACCTGTCCACAAATGATAGCTCAACGAAGTGGCTTATCATGTGGAAATGTACAGCAGCCAAATACTCTAAACACATGTTTCTAAATGTAGAGGGAAAAACCGGAGGACCTGGAGAAAAATACCCATGACCACAGTGAGAGAGACATAAACATTCCAAATATACAGCAGGCGTCAGGGTCGGGATCGAACCTATGAACCTCCTGCACACCAGGTGAGGGAAGTAACATCTCGCCACCGGGCGGCTCCCAATCTCGACAATGTCAGGAAAACCCCGGGTGACCTTACCTTGTTTGTGGTGTGTTTATCGCCCGAATGTACTGCCATAAAGTGGCCGGGTGTGTCGAAGTGTTGTCATGTTCGTTGCCCCGGCCGACTTTGACCTGTTGTACTCGGGCGCCCTCGTCATCTGGTCCAATGGGTTTTATTGACTTGTAGGTCTATAAACTGCAAATGCCATCGCTCGCGGAATGTGCCGTGCCAAGTACTCCTTGATTCATCTCCTTTGGCCGCCATAAATACCAGAGTAAATGCGTATTTTATTTGTGACTTTGATTGCGTAAGGGCTTATCTTAATCACATTAGAGGGATCCGCTCTGTCAGTTCACACTGACAGACCCATACCTGGCACAGCGTCATGAAAATCCTTGAAATGTACAAAGTGCCGTAATATGGCAGTGGAGTTGATAACTAGTTAAAGACAATTTTTTGTTTCGCGATCTTCCATCATGTTTACTTATGATGCACAATTTTCAGTGGAGGTTTCGGCGCTCAACCTCGGCACTTTGAACCGTTGACTTCGTTTAAAAAAACAATCAAGCGAAGCACCATCGCAAGGCTTGTCCCTAAGCTCAAACAAGCATCGTCGGCGCTCCCTTTTAAAGGCAGCCACCTACGAGCTGTTACACAAATCGGTAACAACCTTACCCCTTCCCTCATTTCGTACCAGATGGAGAGCTCGACGCGACGACGCCTTCGCAGGACGATGGCCTCACAGCGGACCAGGTGGACGAGAGTGGAGTCTCTTCCCTGCGCACCGACCAGGACGAGGCAGAGGAGCGCAGTGAGGTGGAGCCCAAGCTGGTGCGTGGGGGGAAACGCTACGGTCGGCGCTCCCGGCCGGAGAATTCGCTGTCTGAGCAGTGGAATGGGGACGGGGCCTCCCTGGGTCACGGGGACGGAGGGTCGGCGGGCAATGGCGACGAAGCGGATGGCAGCAGTGGAGGGAGCGATCCCACCGGCGATCCCTTCTCGCCCATCTTGCACAACGGCCGGCCGGTACGCTGTGCCACTACGTTGCTTACACGGAGCATACCGCGATCGGTACTAAAAAAGTGTGTGGCTAAACTGCGTCTTGCTTAGGTACATTCCATGTTTTCATAGTTCCAATGAAAACAATTATTAATCGTATTACCTTTGGGGCTGGTAGGCACTGTGGTTAGTGTGCTCAACACAGTTGGCAAGTAGTGAGTTAAAATTTCAGTTTGTGGACGATGGCTACTGTGGTTATCCTGTGGGCTGGCTGGCTCCCATCATCAGAATGTAGAATTCCCGTGAGTGGCGCTGGACCACCAACCGATGGGAGCGATCACCTACTTTAATGTTTTGCCACCCACAGTAATAATTTTCATTTATTCCGATCCTTTAAAGAAAGGAAAGCTGCCTGTCTTTGGATTGATGCAAGAAGAACATCACGAGTCTTAGCCCTATATCTTTCAAGGGTACGTCTTACCCAACGTATTAACCTATACCTATTTTAGGAATATGTGCTCTAAGCTGGTCTTGACCAAAAATAAATTTTCTTCAGAAATTGATCATTGGACTGAATTACACCAGATTTCTGTACCTGTTGTTTGGTTGAATGGGTACCCAGGAATCAAACCCAGTTGTACATAATTCTGGCTCACTAATTTGCCATGGGACCATTATCCTACCTGGTGACCTGCAATGTACTTAATATTTTGTGAAAAATGAAATAACTTGTCCTCACGACATTATGCATACAATACACGCAGTCGTTTTAAGTAATGTCTATGTCTTATACGTATTCATCACCAAAACCTTGCGATTGCTCTGGCCAGCACCGCTCGCAACATTTCCCCAGGGCCCCCGTGGGAAATACGTTTCACTCTTGAGCCGTGTGCCCATGAAGCGTTCGTTTAATAAAGGTTTCACTCTTCCAGACCAACCTCGGCCTTTTGATCTGCCCGGTTTCCGCCCAGCCCCGCGCAAGCTGTGTGCATCGCTGCCATGGACACTGTGTTTGCATGTCGGCACACCGCTGCTTATCACGGCCGGGAAGCTGCCTGGAGACTGCGTACACAGTGGCAGCAAGCCGGGACTTGCTAATCAAAGGGGCTTGCGGGAAGTGGACCTTGTTGATCCACCATCCACGCATTTCGCGGCAGATTGACGGTGTTTGCTTTGGGCCGTTTCACAGCCTTAATTAAATGACTGTCGCTCCTGGCAAAAGGAGGCCTTTTACATTTTGACTTCTTAGTAGTCTGGTGAAGAGCAGGAAAGTTTGTTTACTTGCTTCACTGCCAGCGTCATCTGGGCGGGGGTGGCACTGTGGTTAGAGCACTTGCCCTGGAAGTGGAGAGGTTGTGAGTTGAATACCAGCCCGAGGGTTGATTCGGCAACATCCTAATTCTGTGGAGTCTCATTAAAATGGAATACCACATGGTGGGGCGTCAGCTCTTGTCATCCTATGCCCCCCTTCCCCCCCCCCCCCCCCCCCACTATGGGAATGTGGGATTTCCACCACGGGGACTATGGAGACACACCGCCTTGAACCCAACATTGGTGGTGATTTCTTTTTTCAATGTGAAAAGCGACCACCATACAAGTCCTGGGTAGTTAATTATAACGCTAAGTGTAACAGCAGTTTGATCGGTAACTCCGCCCATTATCCTCACTTAATAACAAATGATGGTGCTTCCTCGACAGATGTAATGATTGTATCGAATGATCAGTGAACCTTAGTGGATCAATGTATTCCAGACAAATCGTGGACTGATTTCGACTTTATTGAGCCTCATCAGCATTAAGACGTAGCCCCCACCTACCTGGATCATTTTCTGTTTGCATGAAACGTCTGAGGTTTTTTTTTCCCCCAACATTTTCTTACCAACAAAAAAACCGTGCAAAAAATGTTGCCGCTGAAAAAACATTTACCTTTGGTTTCTATGACACACGTTTAGCCCTGGGGCACTTTCTAAGTACAAGTGCGCTGCGGTGCCACCTTCTGGCCTCGACGCGCATCTGCTGTGTTATATCATGGGTCCCTTGGCAGCCCAGTCAGATAGGAATCGGAATATTTGTTGAGTGGTCCAGGACCCTCCACGGTTTGATGATTTCTGTTGATTGTCGACAATGCGGTACTATTTTATTCACCTGTAGGGATTTTCTGAGCTCCTGGCCTTCTGATCGGGATGTGAATGTACTCACCCGCAGTGCTAACCAGCCGGTGACTTAAGAATACTGTGTAAATAGAAATTTAAAGCTAATATACAGTCTATTTTGGCAGTCCACTGCTCGATTAAGGCCTCCGCATGCTGTGTTTTCATGGGGGGTTTATTTGACCATACTTCACCATGCTGGCCAGTGCAGGTTGGCGGGGGGGGGGGAATCACTCGCCACCGATGCTTGCCATGGCCGGGAATCGTACTGAGGCTCGCCCAGGTTAATAGCGCGATTCGCCAACCACTGCCCTCCCGCCCTCTCTCTACCACGATGTGTATATAAATATACAACAGGATCACAAGGCGGCCTCGTGAAGAATGTGTTGTTTTTTTGGCCTCAGGATGTGTACGAAGGAGGCGTCTTTGGGCCGAGCGAGGGCACTTTTGAAGCCGAAGGTGAGCGCAATGGGAATTTACAGTTTGTTTTTGCGCCGGGGATAATTTGCCAGCGTGGTGCGCTCGTAAAACACACGGCGTAAATTCATTCCATCACCTCATTCACCGAATAGTTCTGTGATGATAGTGCACGCGTGTGATTTCTAGTTCTTAGCGGGAAGTCGAGAGTGACTTGTTCTACAGAAAGACGAGCCCCTGATTTTCAAGGACAGCCGTGGGAGATCAGTGCAGCCTCGATGTTAGTTTGAGCGAAGAGGAACATCAACCTTGATCATTTGATTGTTGATTTTAAAATGCAAAGCATTCCTTAAAGAATGTCAGGATTAAACAAATCTGATTTTCCATCTGATATAATGTACGTTCAGAATAATAGTCGCACTTGATTGGGTGGTGACATTCAGGAGAATGAATTAACTGAATTTTGAAGATGTAAAAGAAGTGCACGTGCACACGTTTACATACAGCCAGGTGGTGCTCTGTCTCCAGAGCTCTCCACATAAGTTCACATCCCATGCAGGGTTCAAATCAATGAGACCTCTGCAGTTCACAAAATAACTAGTACTTTGCCGCTCGCATTCAGTGGCCCTCTTCTCATAGGGAGACTGGCCCCTTCCACAGAAATGTGGAATGTATCACATCAGCTCAGGGCTAATTGCCATCCCACACTTGAACGGACTTAAACTTTTACGTTTTTACACAATATTTTGATTGAGAGAAACGGCCGCGGTGTAATGGTTAGCACAGTGACCTTTAAAAAAATCCAGAGGTCGTCCGTTGGATTCGATCTGTAGCGACACAAACGCACTCTATTATAGCAGGCGCCAAACTGTGCGACATGCCCTGCCGCATGGCCTTGTGGGGGAGCCTCGGTACTGACATTCCGTACATGTACGTCATTGGAACGGAATCGGATGAAAAACTGATCACTTGCACCTACATACGTCATCGGAACGGGAAAGTGTTCAATCGCCAACAACGACGCAAACCCAGCCCGCGCAGCTCCACCTCGACTGTCCCCCTTCGTTGACCGCTCGCCGACGTGCCGCCGCACAGGCCAGAACCCGTGGCACTCGTCGGCTTTCCTGAGCAGCAGCGGCGTGCTCGATGCGGACCCGCCGGACGCGCTGGGCTCCATCGAGGAGCGGCTGCTCGCCGACCTGGGCCTGGAGCCCGGAGCGCGGCTCGACCCGCAGGAGGCCGCCGCCGTGTGCACGCAGCTCCAGCTGCAGCACGAGGTACGGGGCGCGGCACGGAGACGGGCGTCGCTTTGTGATGGGCGTCAGCTGTGTATGTATGTGGAGTGCTCGTACTCACGCGATCCGAGGGTAGAAATACTAGCGTGATCCAAGGGTACAGTGTAAGGATGACGTCACGAGGAAAGGGCGAGAGAGGTGACGTCACCGGGAGAGGCGGGGCGATCGAGGCGCGTCTTGGAGGGAATCGGAGTGGGGTGGATGCGTGCGGCAGTGAGCTCACGTGTAATAAAGAAAAGTATCGACTCTCGATCTTCATCTGGTGGACTCTCTACATCTGTGCGATGTTTAACTTCTTTCGAACAGGACGTAGCCGACCGGGCTAATCGGAGGTCGCGTAGATATGAGTGTCGCATGGCAGTGACTGTCGTGCAGCGATGAGTGTCACTTTGACAGTTCTAACTTGGCGAAATCCAGTACGTTAATAGTCAAAAGGTGAGCCTTTTTTATGGTTTTACGTTGATTGCATAATCTTGCTAAATGCAATGGCACGCATTCAGTAGACCCCTCAAGACTGTAACTAATAAAAACTGTGTAATTTTATGCAATTTTTAAACAAAAATAAGCTTTATGTCATTTGCAATTTATTTATTTTATATTTCTAAATACATACTACCATATGAAACAAAAATGTAAATAATAACATTTGGAAATTGTTAATGACCAAAAAGATGAGGTTTTCCAGTAACCCAATGGTGTCCCTAAGCCACCGGTTTTAAATACCACATTTCAACGGCACAGTTCAGTCTCGCTCCCTCTACAAATGTGTGGTCATTTCTTTAACCATGAAAGAATGATGGTCTGAGTCAACCTCCTCACAAGGATTTGACCATGTGACCTTCCGACCGTGACTTGAGTAGCAATATTTGATATCTATCTGGCCTAATAACATGAGGGTTACTTTATGATACATTTATTCTCCAGTGATTAAAGCCCACTGATCAGTAGAATCACCTGCCACCTCTTGCACTCTTTTTGTTGTCGGTGTTGCCCCCTGCGCCTCAGTGGCATGCGGTGCAGGCCCAGCTGGAGCCAGCGGATGACGGGACGGTGAGCTGCTCAGAGCTGCTGCAACTCCTGCAGCAGAGCGGAGTGGACGAGGAGGGGGAGGCTGAGCCAGAGGAGCGGAGGGAAGAGGAGGAGGAAGATTTGGATGATGAGCGCACCAGTCTGTCCTCGCAGAACCTGTCCCTGGGACGTTACACGCCGAGTTTGTCGCCCCCTCCACCCGGCGTCCTCCGACAGCTCAAGCGCTTCCACTACAGCCAGGTGCGGACGGGTGAAGCGCGCACGCGCGCCATCGTGCGGGTCAGCGCCGCGTGAGTGGGAATCGCCGTTGACTCTGCGGGAATGCACGCGGCGTGTTCTTTAGCGTTTTGATCAACCGGTGCGTTTTTTTGCCGTGTGTGCCACCGTTTGTCATTATGTGTGTGTTGTGGCAGAGTAACTCATTCGGAAGGCTGCGAATTCAGTTCTAATCCCAGTGGGGTATCGATCCTGGGCTTAGTAGTCCATGAAATGAGTACCAGTTTATAGGTTGCCTAGGTGGCTCAGATTTCTGAAACACTGGATTGAAATCCAGGTAGCGACCCGGGGTTCTCAAGTGCAGCGGGTTGATCTTCGATGCTTACGATGTTGATGATGACGACGGTGTGCTCGGCTGTGGCTGCGTGTGCGTTCGTCCAGGAGGAGGGCGGGCGACGCACGGCCACCCCGTCCCTGCTGGCACCCAGTGGCCACGAGCTGCTCTTCTCGGATCTGGACGACGGCACGGGCAGCGTTCACACCGAGCGCCTCCTGGACTCGTGGCTCGCCGACGGCGTGGCGCAGCCGCACACGATCCTCGAGGCGAGACGCGCGGCCGCAGAGCCGGCTGAGATGGCGGCTGGGCGCGTACACTCTCATCTTGTGATTGAATGGCAGAAGATTTTTTTTTACACTTTTTTTTCCATGATGTAATTCGCGCAAATTTAATCTCGATACGCTGAACATCGCACGTTGGCATTGAAAAAACAGTAGCAACCAAGACAGTTTCTAAGTATGATTTGAAAATAGAGGGAGCTGATCTCTGTATAGTGGGTAGTGCATTCCACACAGAAGGAGCTGCAAAGAGAAAGCACGCCCGCCAACAGTCTTGTAAGCGTGCGTGTGTGCATGTGGTGAGTGCGGTGGTGCGGTGAATACGAGTATTACGCTATGAACCTGGAGATCAGAGTTCGACTTCCAGCTGTGTCTAATATCGTTGGTGAGGAATATCTGAGCATGGTGTTGTGCCTTCCCTCGACCATCAGCACTGAGGAAACAAAGGCGACCTGTAACATGCTTCGTGTAAAACAATGTCATTAAGTGCAATATCGTGTCGTGGAATGTCACGGAACTTTTTTCAAGAGAGACGCTTGCATTGTCACGCTGTCACAGGCGCTGCAGTTGAGCGGCAGTGAGCGCGTGTGCCGCGCTGACCTCACCGCTGCCATCGACGCGGAGATGCTCTCCTCTGGGGACGGGCTGCCCCGGGTCACGCTGCTCGCCTACAAGGCGGAAGTGAGGACGCAGAGGTACGGGCAGCGTGTGCACACACAACGGCTGTGATCTGCGAGTTCAGCTTTATTTCTAGAGGCTCCAAGGGAAATTTTGGTACGGTACGACACATCGACACAGACACAGATCCCCCATATAGCCTTTCACAGACTAATGGGGCAAGTGCTGTTAGAATGCACCTATGAAGGCCGACACAGTACATGAGAGGGTGGATGGCCAGCACCACTCCCGGCTGCCTTTGTCTTTGAGGCTGAGTCGACCTAGGGGAGGCCTAGGACCGGTTCAGATAATCGTCACTGGTTGCCAGGTTCATAGCTCAGGCGCGCTAACCGCTACACTACACACGCACAAACACACACATGCACAAAGACAAATTTCCCCTGTATCACCTACACAGACTGTTGGAGCGAGTGCTCTTAGCGAGCGCCATGTGAAAACCAGCGTGGTGCGTGACGAGCTGGTGTGGTCGGCACCAGTGCAGGCTACCCAATGCCGATGTTAGCACATCACAGCCAGCTGCTCATTTGAAGCTGAGCTGATCGAAGGAAGACTCAACTCCATGCTCAGATACTCCTCACCACTGATATTAAGCGTTTGTGGCGTAATGCACTCTCCACTGCTCCACCGCTGCCCACGCATGCACGCAACAACAGATTTTTAACCATTCGTTTGGTCGGGGCTTTCATGCAGCCCTGAGCTTGGCTCAGCGCCTCTAAATTGTTGACTTGTCTGCAAAGGCTGTCGAGTTATAAAATTCACTATTATTATTTGTTCATGCAGGAATGGAAGCACGCTCATAACTAAGTCCGAAATCATTTGGATCAAATCCAAAATGCCAATGCTCATGCTTCCCAGTAGTACATCTCCTTCAATTCTTAATTCATATGTAAAGTTGATAGTGGTTGGTAGTGGTGCATTGTGGTCATCTGTTGATTGACAAAAGTGGTTGCGTGTGAGGTGCAGAGCTCTCTAATGCCCGTATGTATTTGTCCACGAGTGTTGCACTGCCCTCTCTGGTCTTGTGCGGTGAGGGCAGGGTTAGGCAGCACGTTCCACCACATACGATCCTCATTAACCACTGCCACTTGGGAAGGTCAGTGGTTATAATATTAAGAGCCACTTTGCAAGGACTGAACAATTAAGGCTGTCAATATGGTAATATTTCTGTCGCGTGCGGGTCGGAGATTTCGGTGCAATGCTTGGCTCTTGTGGATTCTATCCGACACAGCCCACGTGACTCACATCACTAAACCAGCTGATTCACTACAAGCCATGAATTGTTTCATCCATGACCTGCTACTTCCTTGTCTCTCTATTATGGCAACTATTTCAGCCTTATTTCTACCTCTGATTTCTAGAATGCAGTCTGCACTCTCATAAAGCTCCTGTTGTCCATACTCCACGCAGCTGCTTCACTGCAGGACAAAGCATTTTACCTTCCAGTTTCTTGTCTCAAACAGCCTAGCGTCGGAACTCACTTCCCCCGTGCTAAGAAGCTTTGTCACCTCTCACCTGCTATCCTTCGTCTAGCTCTCTCTCATCGGCTCGCCACTTTGCATAAGAGGCACGGGAGCCTCTGCTCATCAACCATGCTCAAAGGCGTAAGGGATGTGCTCATTGTAAATGTTTGCATCGTGTTTGCTGACAGACAGCTTTACCTTATGAAGAGGGGAAAAAATGCAAGGTTATGGCAAAGGAAAGTCATCACTTTGTTCACATTGTCTGATTACATAATGCCCATGAAGCATGCACATGCTTGTGGTTGAGTGGCTTACATTCAATTGAAAACACGTCACGGCCTTCAGGATATCAACAAGGATATCCATTGTCAAGTGGCTCGGTCGCTGACATTTTAAGCGTGCACCCTCGCACTCTCTCCAGAATGTCCCTTGTGTGTTAAACGGTCCGATTACGTTGTGCAACTATTTGTCACTACGGCTGAATGTGTCAATTTAAAATCTGCATATGACGAGAAAACCCATCGCAGCGGGAAAGTTAGTGCAGGTCGGAAAAACAAGTAGGTTTACCCAACACGAAAAGATGCGCATTGCGTGTACGGTAGCTTCCCGGCCTTATCCTGACCACCAGCTCAACAGAACTGAATGTGTGGCCATTTTGTTGTTTAGGCCACCGAAGAATTGAGAAAATGTGGCCACCTCATCAGGCCGCAGTGAAACAAAGACACATCTGTATACCAGTGTGATCTCCATTCGAACTCATCAGTAAAGTACAGTTATCAATGTTCACTTATACCATATGCCTCTGGGAGCCCCTTAAGGCTAAAATAAGTGCTGCTGTTCTGAACACTGCAGGGTCAAATCTTGCTCCATTGATGATGCAGCCACATCTTACCTGAATAACAAAAATATGCATGAAAACATTCACAGGTGCACACGTAGGCACCTATACAACAAAGACAAAGATTTGTTTTTAGCAGGAGTAGGTATGTCAGAACGACCATTTGAACAGTGTTAAGTGAGTAGTCAAAGCTGCCATAGAACGCGTCATGAGTAGGTATGGCTAGGACCCCACATGCCTGTCCACCTTTGTCTCCTCACGGCTCGAGCCACACATTTTAGGCTCTAATAACCTAGGGAAGGTCCAGTCGGTGTTTGGCCGCCACTTTTCCCCACGGCGTTACCGTGCACACCGTCCGTCCACTCGCACATGCCGGAGGGCACGGGCAAAACACGCACTTCACTATTTGGCACGTTTGAGTGCTCCTGCTTTGCAACAATTGTGTCGAGAGGTGGTCATGTGACACTCTTGAAATCACCGGCTGTCCCCGTTGCACCCCCCCCCATCCCTTGCTCATCTCGAGCAACGATCGTTATGTTCACACGTCCACACACCCCGCGCACTCCACATCTTATTCGGCTCCATTCTACAACCACAAAACGGGGAGTTATATAGAAACGAACGACGAGCGACGTTGTTGTGATGGAGACCGACTGCTAGCGATGGTGACACACGGTCCGTGTGCGGGCCTTCATCTCTGCTCTTCACCGCCAACATGATGTTTGATTTTTTCGGACGACGGTGAGTGCTCGGGCGTAAGCCCGCCATCGTTTCGTTTCGTTGGTTTTGTTTGTCTTTAACGAGCAGTTGCGCTTGGTTTGCCGAAAACCAGAAATGGTCGAATTAACGAATAAATAATTACTCCGTAACGATCTAATAGCCAGACGTAAACCATGAAAGAGCGGGGCAGCAAAATACAGTGAGTTAAATAATTAAATACATGCAATACGTGTGTGGGACTAGCTTCTAGCATCTGAACAGTGGCCATGGAAACATGAGAGAGAATTGAATAGAAATCAGAGGCAGCACAGATGTGAATTTAATTAGCCTATTCATCGTTCTAATTACCCTTTTGATGAGCTCACTTTTGTTTTGGACAGAGAGGTAGTTCAATTAACCCGCGCACGACACTGTAATATGGTCATAGGTAAGTGATGGGACGGGCTCTTTTCGCGTTCTACGTACGTTGATGGTGAGCAGTGCAGGTGAGGTTCCACACCCGCAGGTGAAGGGCCACACCTGCTCTGTGACATCACATCGACAGCACCAGCCTCGAAACTTGATTCAAGATGGCAGAGAGTAGCAATGAACCATCTTTAAAAGGTTGCACCGTGAGCGGCCCTCAGGGAAGGCGGTGGGACATTTAGAGGCTCATTGCATGTTGCCTGCCATCTTGGCCAACCCACAGGGCATCATCTAGTGCTGGTTGATTGATTTGACCTCTGCCTAGTTTCATTAACTATTGACTTTTAATTTAGATATTTTTATTCCAGTGTTCGGTACTTCACCAGTTTGACCAGTCGGCATTAAAACACCCCATCAGGCTGGCGACCCTAGCAAGTGTTTTGCCTCGAGTTTGTTTGGAAGGCAAGATCTTAACACGTATAGGGATTGGGGAGGGTGAAGTATTTCTCAAAAAGTCTACATCAAAGGTAGTCTAATATGTTGCAGCTAAGCTATAGGACTCAACCAAGCTCTGTTCCTCCTTGGTAGTCTCTGCTGGCTCTGTCATAACTTACCTTGTATGCTTTAAGTTAACTTTTGAATTAGCAGCAGTGTTGCGTGCACTGACCACTATGATACTATTTCCCATGCACACATATGCACACACAGAACACATACAGTACAATATTAGGTGTCATTTCAGCACGTCAATACACTGCTGGATGACGGCATCCCCATGCTGTGTCGAGCATGCTAGTTGTTTGACCATACTTCACCACACTGGTCATTGTGGGTTGGTGAAGCGGTGGGGCCCAAAACAGTTCAGCTATCACTCGCCGATTTCCTAGCGCAGCACGCTAACCACTGTGCCACCAGTCCATCCCAGTTAGTAGTTGGTAATGGGAATATAAACTATACTCTTTGGGTCTTTCGGTAAAGTCACAGAGAAAGAAAAATGTTGAGGCAGAAAAAAATATTCAAAAAATTCCTGCCTCAACAGTCCGCCTGCTGTATTTTTTCACCTGAAGACGATTGCTTGTGTTGCGACCGAAACGTCGTGATTTTTAATATGTTTTTTTATCTGCGTGACTTTATCGAAAGACCCAAACAAAGAGTATGAATTCCTGTAGTCACGAAAGTTTTAAGTCAAGTTATATAAACTTTCAACAATAGGGATGACATTGACAATAAAGGCTGGAAGGCTACCGATTATGACAACGTGGAATAATACAAATGCAGCAGAGATGGAACTAGAGCAGATTTGGATCTTATCCTGATCCCGTAAGTTCAGATATCGTAATCAGTGAAATAAATACAACTGCAATTGTCAGAATACAGGGTAATAACCACGGCACTTATTCATAGCATGCCTTGCTTATCACTGCAACATAAAGCTCAATACATTCGTTCATTATTTCACAAATATCCACATTTACAAGGGCAATACACATTTATCGACATTCGTATCTGCAGAGTGAATACACATTGTACACCCATCCTTTCGTAACTCTGGCAGCCACAGTGGTGATAGTGCAGGAGGTTGTAACGGCGGGGGCGTGCGCGTGCGTGCCTGTGCGTGCCCCTGCGTGTGTGCGTGCGCAGGAGCCAGGCAGAACAGGCAAGCGTGGAGCGGGAGAAGCTTCGCGTGGACCTGGAGCGCACGGAGCGCCGCTGCTCCAAGCTCGCGAACGAGACGGACGAGAGGCACGACCAACTCGAGAGCCTCAACTCCAGCCGCATCAGGTGCCCTGCCGTGCCACTCGCATCGGATCACTTGTATATGTGTATGTTGAACTTCTTTAGCGCCGTATGTCGCCAACCATGCTAATCGGAGGTGCTGGGGAAGGACAGCAAACTTAACGCAAAAAGCAGTTTTAAAGAAATGAGTTTTCAATCGACATTTAAAAGTGCATAGCTCCAGTGGCTTCCTGATATTCGAAGGGAGAGCATTCCAGACGTCCGCTGAAAGCGCATCTGAACGCGTGCGATGCGGTGACCGTCTTTGTTAGATGGCGAGCCAAAAGCCGCTGCGAGGATGACGGGAGTTCGCGTGATGGGGAGCGTACCAGCAGGGCCGGATTGACTCGGTGCCTTTCGGTGGATCCAGCGCAGGGCCTAGCATTTTGAGGAGCCACCCCGAAAATGTATCATCAACCATGATAAATCCACTGCTGGATGAGTGCCTCCCCAAGCCTCCACCGCCTCTCGCTATCTCTCAATGCGGCACCTGCACGTGAACTGATCTCGCCATCCTGACAAATGGTTAAATCTCAACACATTTCTGTAGAATTACGATATATCCTTTGGTTAATTTAGTATTTAAAGCCATAGCTTTGCTTTGTCATCAGCATTAACTCCCCTGAGCCACGTGGCATCCTTCCCTTCTTCACGCTGCACCCACAAAGCCCGCGTCCTCTTGCTGAGCAGACGCATGGACGTGTGTGTGCGTGTAAGGGGAGCGGTAGCGTCGCGGTTAACGCGCGGCCCTGCGCACCCGGGCACCCGAGTTTGATTCCCACTCACGGTCAACGCCAGTGACGATTATCTGAACCGCTCCTGGGCCTCCCCTAGGTCGACTCGGCCTCAAATGAGTACCTGGTGCGGTGTGTAAACATCGCCACCGGGAAGGCGGCTCGGGCGTGGTTTTGGCCACCGACCCCCTCGTGTGCCGTGCCGGCCTTTATAGGTGCTCGCTTAACAGCGCTTGCCCCTACAGTCTGTTAAGGCTACACGGCGGGGGGGGGGTCTTATTTGTCTTTTTCCCACAGTGAGCTGGAGCAGGACTGCCGGGAGAAAGTGGCAGCGACGCGAATGGAGATGGACAAGGAGCGCGAGCTGATCATGAGCCACGTGAACCGGCAGCGCGAGAAGCTCGAGGCGGAGATCGACAACCTCCGCAAGGACGAGGCCGAGCTCCGCGACCGTCTTGGCATCACCATGAAGGTGCCGCCACTAACCCCAGCTGCCCAACCCACCCACCCACCCTGCCCTGCCCTGCCCTGCTCTGTGTGTTAGCTGCTTGGAGGGAGCTGTGTGTGTGTGTGCTATATCACTGTGTGTACTGCACGTTCTTTATGCACTCTACGTGTTATGTGCATGGAGGGAGCTGTGTGTGCCACATTGCTGTGTGTATGGCACGTTCTTTGTGCACGCTGCATGCTAGGTGCATGGAGGGAGCTGTGTGTGTGCGCCACGTTGCTACGCGTATGGCGTGCATGCTGCTTGCTGTGTGCGTGGCTAATGCCGCGCGCCGTTTGTGTATTGTAGGAAAATTCCCGTCTGGAGCGGGAGCTGAGCGACCTAGCGGAGCGGTTGGCCGACTCGGAGAAGCAGGTGTGCAGCCTCAAGGAGCAGCTGCACAGAGCACTTCACGGCGGGGTGAGTCGCTGCGCTTCGCACCATCTGTCACCCTGTCCTAACGAGCTGTCGGACACCACGTGGCATCATCCGGCATACAGATACGGGCAGATTTTGCGGATCACCATCACAAGGTCGAAAGTTCAAATCTCGGGTTGGATCCTAAACGCGGTGTCGGAGTCGACTTGGCCCCCGTCGACCTTCACTTAGCTCAGCCTTGTTTTGGGGTCGATAAAATAGGTATCGTTGTTAGAAAACATTGATACCCTGCGGAGAAACTCTGTACCCTTCCATGGTAATGTGGAAAGTCCAACACTGGCTGAGGACTGCTAAAGGATAAATGCACTTCCCGTTGCTCAAGATTCCTGCTCTATAGGCACTTTTGTTGCCTTCCATATGCAACAAAACAAGAGGAATTCGCAAATCATCACGATTAAAGCATTGATACTTAACGTGGCTTTCCGAGCAACACAACATATGTCACCATGTGGCACTGTGGTCGCAGTGCTCAACTCACAGCCGAATGTACAACGGGTTTATATCGTGGTCAGGGCTCCACTCATCGCACGGTCCCTCCAGAGTCAATAAAAACAGCGCCACATTGTGCGTCGACAGTGGTCGTCATTAGGGAAGACTGGACCCCGCCGTAGAAACGTGGAATTTTCACCACCATCTATAAAGGGCTTCCAAAGGAGAAGGGCACCATCCCACAATTATTTAAACGGAAAGACCATTTTACGTGGTGTTCCAGTTGTTGTTGGATTTAGAGCCCTTGGTCAGTCCACTCACTGCTGCGGAAATAACCTCCTCATACATGGGGTTGTTTTGATCATGCTTTAACCGCGCTGGTTTAGCACCAGTCAAAATACCACCCGCCACTGATGTCATCCATCGTCGGTAGTTGAACTCAGGACGGCGACTTTTCTGTTGATGACGCTTCACAATGACGGGCTGGCCACGCGCGTGCACTCCGTCCGCACAGGGAGATGATCTGGACCCCACGAGCGCGGAGTTCTTGGCGCGAGAAGAGCGCTTCGCTCACGTCTTGCGGGAGCACGAGCAGCGGTGCAGGGTGAGCGTCTCCCCCCCCCCCCCACTCCTCCTCTCACGCGTGCAACCCCCGCACCACCAGCCACTCTGTGTGCAGATATTTACGCAGGGAAACGAGTTTATTTTATATCACCAAGGTGAGAAATGGAAGGGACTAGGATCATTTGCAAGTGTGACCTGGGGCATTAGTCTGCCGGCATGGGGCAATGATGGCGATCTATAATCTCGGTTGAGCGACTTGCGGTTTGATCTTTGAATCTAGAAAAGTTGGACCCAGTACTGGCACTCAAAGGCCGATGGTCTTATCCCGGTCACCAATGGTAACACGAAAAACCAGGAGGACTTCTTCCAGCACTGTATTGACAAATTGACATAAATTACTATTCCTATTATAATTAAATGTGACGAAGTGATCCAGTAAAATAAAGATAATTTATGAGATCTGGAATAAATAGATAACGTTGTGGAGAAGATCACTCGATGCAGTATTTGTTCAAATTCTCATACATTCGCTTGCTAGTCCTGAGAACAGCAAGCTGGGGGGGGGGGGGGATGCATTGGCAGCGCCATTAATTGTGATGCGTTCCCTCTCGGCCCCGTGAGACCACCTGCACAGCTGACACTATTCCTTGACACTGCTAGAGCTAAATTTCGATTTAAAGCTTTCGTGACTGCAGGGATTCATCTTCTTGGTTCTTTCGGTAAAGTCACGTAGAATGGAAATAATAAAATAACAAAAATAAAACATAATAAAACATAATAAAACATAATAAAATAATTCTCACGACGTTTCGGCCACAACGCAAGCAGCCGTCCTCAGGTGAAGAACAGGTCTGTCGAGAAGACAGACGGCTGCTTGCGTTGTGGCCGAAACGTCGTGAGAATTATTTTATGATGTTTTATTTTTATTACTTTATTATTTCCATTCTACGTGACTTTACCGAAAGAACCAAGAAGACTGCTAAAGCTGTTGTTGTTGCCGCTGCCGCCGCACCCGCTTCGTAGGAAATGCAGGACCGGATCGACGAGCTGCAGTCGGAGGTGGAGCTGCTGCGCACGCGAGCGTTGCCCCGCAAGGGCGGCCGCCTCAACGGGGAGAGGATGAGCCCCGAGGGCGGGGAGGAGCTGGGGCAGGAGGGTGCGTGTCGCGCGCGTCACGTGATTGTGTGCTCGACGTGAACATTGTGTGATTGTGTGCTCGACGTGAACATTGTGTGATTGTGCGATCGTGAGCTCGTGTGTTAGTGCGATCGTGAGCTCGTGAGCTAGTGCGATCGTGAGCTCGTGAGCTAGTGCGATCGTGAGCTCGTGAGCTAGTGCGATCGTGAGCTCGTGAGCTAGTGCGATCGTGAGCTCGTGAGCTAGTGCGATCGTGAGATCGTGAGATCATGAGATCGTGAGATCGTGAGCTCGTGTGATCATTCAAGCAGTGTGTTCCATGTCTTGCGGCGCATCACCAGCATCTTTCACATATATTATATGTAACGCCTTTTACATATATTATTATTACTACATGTATATAACACCTTTCACCTGAATCACAGCGTCAGATTAATAATTACACTTAATATTGTTCACGTAAAAAAAATACACTTGTGTCAGCAGCAACATCATTAACAATTCACTTGCACTGGGCCAAAAAATATATTTTTGTCTTTAGTTTATTTTGCACACATCATATCATAAATATTACACGTAATTTTGACACCAATATTTTCATCATAATAATTACACTTGATCAGCGTCTTTCACTTAAATTATATTATCATTACAGAGCCTCTTACATACGTTGTCAGCAGATGGCAGTGAAGCAGAATTTATTGTTGTACTGTACTGTATTCCAATGTCTATGCTTCCCTGCCTTCACTAACCTGCACTGACCAGCATAGTTAAGTATGGGCAAGTAGGCCCCATTACCTGCATGGCATTTAGAGACTCCCATCCATCCAGCAGTAGATTGACAGAGGCCTGTACATATACAATATTGTCATCAGCACCATCAAACTTGCATGGCAACCTGTACACGAATGACATCATTACACCTTTGACCTGCCATCATTATGACACTTTCTAATTCCAGTCACACAATTGAAATATAAATCTCGATGAAATTATAAGCATTAATTTAAAAACTGTTTAATTCGTGTTAAATATTATTCAGCCACATTCAAGGGTTGGCGGTTTGCCTGACATCCCATTACCACTTTGTCAGCACAGCGAGCTAAGAGCCCCTTGCAAAGTGCTGTGAGACCGTACCTCAGGGTTGACTTTGCCCCGTGGATCGCTTCTCTGTGCTCCAGATGCTCGGAGCATGTCGGCGAGCAGCATAGGCAGCACGGGTTCCCTCCGCTCCAGGATCCGCAGAAAACTGCCCGACATCATGCGCAAAGGTGTGGCCCCTTGAGAGTTTTCGCAGGGGGCTGATCTTCAGTGGCAACTCTGAGCCGACTCTGGAAATTGCACATTTCTATGGCTGTGGCCTGGTTTTTTGCAATTGAGAATCGCCCTCTAACAAAAATATCCTATGATGCTGTAGCAGACCGGTTGGCTCGAAGGTGAAGAGTGCTGAGCTGCCACCGCTGAAGTTTCTAGGTTTGAATCCATGCAGCTGCCCATGAATAAATAAATGTCCTGAAGTGTAATGTGTTGATGGCCAATGACTACACACAAAATAAACCATTGGTAAAAAAACAAAAATGCACTTCAATAGGCTGGATTGCAGCTCCGGGTTTAGAAAATATTTGTCAAATTAACAAACTCATTGAAGAACACATGGGAAACACACTGACCCTTTCTGTGTAAATGATAAAAACAAAAACGCACCTGGAGAAGTTCTTTAAAAAATATATATACACGGGTCATTCTCTGAGACATGTGAGATTTCCTCTTTGATTCCTTGCATCAAGACGATGCCCACCACGCCGGCAATACCTTTGGGAAGAACACCGAGCACTATCATTTGAAAAGTTCCACAAAGCTGTATTGAGTTGAGTAGACCCCCAGACCAGAATGTGCATTTGTAAAAGCTTGTGTTATTTGAGCGCTGTATTAACAGCGCTAATCCCTTAAATCAGATAGAACTGGATTCAGCCTGCCAAAAGTCCATTGGGATACACACAGCTTTCTTGGGGGTATCTTCTGATCTCTAATTAATAATATTTTATTTGATATTTTCAAACTAACATGTTCCTAGAACATAATTATTTTTAGCATTTGATCTTGAAAGCATCCAGATAATTGGCACTGGTTCGTGCACTTGACTCACATGGGGAAAGGTTGTGCATTCAAATAGTTGTCGTATTTTGATGTTGCCTAAGCCTATTTTCCCATCCAGGGTCAATAAAATTAACACCACTTTACTAGAAGTCTCATAAAAATGTGGAATCTACTCCTCAGCCAGTGGTAGCCAAGGTGCCACATCAGGACCCCGCTTCAGCACGGGAGAGATGGCCTCACTTGGCAAATGGTCACGTCGCATTGAGAGAACGAGCATTAAGTTGCGTTTGTTTGCCGGATGCGTGTTCTCATTCGGCATGCCGCTGCGTTTGCTCTGCATCCGTGCCGCAGGCGTGCGCTCCCCAGAGGCGGCGTCGCCTGGGCTCAGTATCGAGGCCGAGCTGGTGCTGGAGAATCTCAAGGAGCAGCACCAGCAGGAAGTGTTTCGTCTCACCGAGGCGCTGACTTCCAAGGTAAGCTCTCTGCCAGCTGGCGGGGGGTCGGACACATCCCAGCGGTAAATGATGTGGCACAGACCACGTGGGACCACTCCACAATTGACAGATTTGAATTAATAATGATAACCGTTTAATACGCTTGGTATTCACTGCATTCTTTAAGCACCAGGCTATCGCGAAGGCGCTGAGTTTCACAGACATGTATACTCTGCCAGTCGTAGGCGGTGTTGCTATGTGATTTAACCCAATTTAGTAATTTGTGAGTATTTATTTTTTATTTGACAAATTTATACTGTGACGTCGGCACACGTGGCCTACTCTTTTATTCGATAACGTCACAAAATATTTGAGTGGCCGCTTGCGTTCGCGACAGTGTCTGGAATTGTAATATATTTCTGGCCAAATGTGCATTTGTTATGTGTGTGCGTGCGTATGTATGTACGTATGCATAACTTATATACAGTAATATACTGTATGTTCTATAATATCTAGACAGCTGGCAGTTCTTCACTCACATTCGGAAGTTTATGAGTTTAAAACCAGATTGGGTGTTATCTACTCAGTCCATCTTCTCCCAGGGTCAAAAAAATATACTATTGCTTGGTAGGATGTCAACACTGTCAGGGCCAAACAACCTTTAATACAGCACTGACCCACACCTGCTTGAGCATGGAGACACTTTTACTGTTTAATTCCACAAGTGTCACTTATTTATTGCCCCCAGCGGCATAATGATGATGCACTCAGTTCACTGCAAAAGGAGATGAATGCTCATGACCTTCCAATTGTGAGCCACAATGCCATCTGACCAAATAAAAAATATCTATTTATCAGCTCTTGAAGGACCTTTACGTAGTTAAGCGAGCGCCCTATGTCTGAACGATGTAACATTCTCGCTCCTCTGACCAGGAGGAGGAATTTGATACGAAGCTCGAGCAAACCCGGGCAGAGGCAGAGAGGAGGGCACGCGACGCGGAAGACCGTCTCGAGGCGAAGGTGGCCGACGCCCGAGCGCGGCACTCGGCCCTCGAGGTCCAGGTGGCCTCGCTGAGGGAGCTCGTTGAGGAGGCGAGGGCTCAGCGAGACGAAGCCCTTGCACGCCTGAACGAGAAGCGGGCGGAGGCGGAGGAGAAGGCCTGCCTCCTCGACGCCATCAGCAAAGAGCACGTGCAGCAGTTGGAGAAGAAGGTGGAGGAGGGGCGGCAGGAGGCGTTCAAGTCCAACGAGCAGGCCGTGCAGAGGTTGCGGGTCGCGTTGAGTGACAAGGAGCAAGAAGTGGACAGAGTCTCGGCGAGGTTGAGGGAGGCCGAAAAGGAGAGTGGCGACCTGCAGTCACAGCTGAGTGCCAAAGACGAAGAGGTGACCTCAATCAAGAGGAAACTGGACGAGGTGGAGAGGGAAAAGGGTCGGATTCTGTCCACCACTGAGGCAGACATTGAGAAGATCCACAACAAGTTGCAGGCCAATGGAGTGGACCGAGCCAAGGACTATGAGGCAGAGAAGCTACAGATGCAGGCCATGCTGAAGAGGCAGAAGCTGGACATGGAGAAGAAGCTGCAGATGGAGAAGGCAGAGGTTGAGCAGCACTTTGCGCTACAGGTGTCGGAGTTGGCCAGGCAACTGGGCGAGGAACGCGAGAGGATGCAGCGCGAGCTGACGGACCGACACCAGGCAGAGATGGCGCAGCAAAGGTGAGAGCGTCACGAGGGGAGAGAGGGAAGGGTGCTTGATGGATGTGTGTCTGTGCATGTATGCGAGTCGGAGAGAGTGTTTGAGCGAGGGCTTTATTTAGTCGTAGTCAAGTGAAAGTGTCTCCTTGCTCAAACATGAATTGGATGGCACTCGCAGTCATGTATGGCACTGGAGTCACCGATGGAAATTCCACAGCTCTATTGCAGGATTCAATATCTTCATATAAAAAATGCTGCTTACTGTAAAGTGGCATATTTTATTGACCCCAGGGAAGTGATGGGCTAAATTGCTCTATAGCTAGAATTTTTTTTATTAATGGTGTTGTAAATTATAAATTGAATGCTCTGACTACAGAGTATTAATCACCTGTATTACACAATAATTGGTGACGTATTCACGAACCTGCTGGGCTAAGGCAGAGCACTCGGCTCACATTCAGAAGGCAATGAGTTTAAATCTTAAGCCAGCAGTCAACTCTACCCGCGATAGATAATGTGTTAAGTAATTAAGGAAGTGCTTGGGCAGGACACATCACTCGAAGGGAAATGACAGAATGGCTGCCAGAGAATGGAACGCATCCAATAATATAGCCGCCGATGAGATGGAAAAATGAAATCGGCTAGTTTGCGGATTCTTAGTGGAGTATTGCATCAGAGAATCATGAGAGATGAAGTAACACCCTGCTAATTACCAGTAGTTGTGTTATGGAGGGACTGGCCAGCAGACAAGCACCTCGGGAAGTGTGGAATTTCAGCTGCTGACTCAGGGCTATGGTTAAGAAGATGAACTCTCTCTCTCTCACGTTCGCTTGAGCAGGGAGGCACCGACTGTGAGTGAATTTCTCACATAGACTCTGCGTTAGGCTGAATTTGTTTCTAAAAGCTTCGTTTTTTTCGCAGCATATTGCCGCTGGGCCCTGCCGTGTTCTTGTTTTGTTCGTCTGGTTTCAAAGCCACATGTCCATACTATGGGGCTGCGTTGTGGGCAGCAGAGGGCATTGCAGCAAAGGCACGTACAGTAATTGTTGTCCTGCAAACGTATGCTCACATGTCTACGTTCGCCACCTTTCTCCAACCGTCACTGACCAGCATGGTGAAGTATGGTCAAATAATCTTCGTGACCCTTGTGATATGGGGAAGCCCCTCGTCGACCATTGTATTGCCAAATGGGGCATGTGCAATACCACAGTCTGTATTTCTCGCTATTGCTCAGAGTTCTCTTGTCAATTTGCCTACGTTCCTGAGCAAACTTACTCAAGAGTTTGATTCGAGTGATGAGTTTTCACTTGCCTTACCTGTGCATTCCTGGGTTTGCAGCACAGTCTGTCCCGCACACAATGTGTTCTGTATTTTCCTGCTTTTTGCTTTATATTTGGCTCAAGAGTGAAACTTGTTTCCAGATACAAATACTGTATATGAAAGTAAATATTTTATTATTTTGTTGTTACATTGCATAATCAAGTTTTGCTCGGTTAGTTTTTCTCACTTAATTTTGTGTTCCGATATTTAAATGCCTATTTATTCCTAAAGATGCAGGGCCAAGTGTTTTTCCTATGTGGCAAAAGCAAGACGACTTATTTTATAGAAATTTTAAATATCCATTGATTTTAGGGGCAATTGTAGAAAAGATCACGTAAAAACATAATTTAGATATTCCTCAAAATAAAAATTGGTAAAAAAAATGTATAATAATGCTATTGTATATAACCACTATCATGCATTAAAATATACAATTTCAGAATAATATGCAAGAACAAAACACAGAATGACATGATCGATTACAGCTTGAGTATACTAATAATAGAATAACACTGATGTGCATATAACATAATTAGCAGCCAAAAAATGTAATGTGAACAGTGGTTGTTATTTATGGGGAGACTGGCCCCTAACAAAGGAATGTTTACATATTTGCCAGTGGTTAAGCGCTGCCATAGTGAGACCACTTACATTTATTGTGTTGTCATTATTTAAACATGATCATTAAAATAATGTACTTTCTGAACACACGTTCAGAAGATACATTATTACGAGCACAAGGCCTGGGCAAGAGGTGTTTGATCATGAGCGGCAGTAATACGGCCATCTCTGAAGCTCTCACGGGAGCAGTGGCGTCGGGGGGCTCCGTGGCAAGACCCCAGCGGGGCCACGACACGCGGGTGTTTAATGATGAGCCTGATTGCAGTGTCGGGAAAACACCTGGACACGTCAAGCGGGTGCACTGGAAGGAAGATTTGGAAGGCTGTGCAACGGTAAATAAGGTTAGAAATGAGGATGGACAGCACCTCGATGGAGCGCTCGCACCTGACCGGTGTCAGCCCAAGGTGAAATTGAAACCAGTAATGAAAATTTCTAAGCCCGTGAGGAGTGCGGAATTGGAAGGACAGGCGAAGGGACGGAGAGTGCAAGGCACGACGGCAGCAGAGAAAGGTCTCGATGAAAACATTGGTGGAAACACGTGGCAAGATGCAAAGAGAGTTCGCAAAAGCCTTCAGTCCAATGATGCTAAAGAAGATGCTAAAACCAGAATTGCAGTGATAGTTAAAGATGGGAACCCTCACTGCAGACAGGACAACATTAACGTGGGCACCACTCTATCATTAATGGCGTGTGCACAACGCAAGGATGCACTTTTCCATGGTAATGGGACCCAAATTGATGCTGGCAAGTCAGGGATTGAGGAGCCGAGGCTGAATGTGAATCGCTGCCTGGATGTTGGTGCTGCTGGAGTCCATAAAGGTCCCATGCTGCCAGTGAGCCAAGTCCAGCGCAGTGTTCGCCATGGAGGCCGCCCCACATCCAGCTGCGCCGAGTCAGAGACGGAACTGGGCGTCTTGCAGCCTGTGGGTGATGTGTTTATAAATGGGCTTGAAGTTGCGGCGCACGCAGATGCGGCGATAGCAATCGAATCTTCCGAGGAATATGGACCCAATGGCACTGCTGAAATTGAGCTAGGGAAGGAAGCTGTTAGAGGACAGGTGGCCATCCCAGACATCGCCCCACGTGGGATCGTGTGGACGCAATGGAGCGTGAACGAGAACGTGAAGAACAAAGTGGCGGGATGTCGTGGCGTTGAAGACGAGATGTCTGGTGAAAATGAACGAACCGTGAAAAAGCAAAGCAACTCGAAAGGTGGCGATGCAGCCGAACTTGAAGACGAGGTGAAGTCGTCGATCGGTGCTGCCGGGAAAGAGAGGGCGGCACTACAGGCGGCCATCTTGAGGTGGTCCGCACTTGCTCGGAGGCTGGAGAGGGAAAGGGTGGCAGCGGCAGAGAGGCACAGGTATCGTCCGTGGCCTCACCCAGCTGAGTCCGCCAATTAATGCGCTTGCATGAGTCATCGCTGGCAACTAACATGCAGTGCAGTCCATGCACCCATCTTCTGCTGTGTTAACACCTTCGCCTACCACTGCTTTCTTGAATTAACAGCAGTGATTGAGAGGAGGAACTTTGGTGTTTTGGAAAACAAAAAAATTGCCCGCTGTTTCAGATACAATTTTGTCCCATTCGTTTTTAAGTGAAAGTTTAAAGTGATTTCTGAACCAGCAACCCATGCCACTCCTGGATAAGTGCTTGAATGACAATTACAGGGTTAGCATTTTCAAAGCTCTGTTTTGGGGTTAATGCAGTCCATCCCTGCGGGGTCGATAAATAGAACACCACTTTGTGGAAAGTCGGCAGTGGCTATCCAATGGGGAGAATTACTCCTACGATGGGAATGTGGAATTTCCACTGCAGGCTCAAGACATACGAGTGGTGTCACATTGCTCGCTTGGACAGGTAGTCTCTTAGACATTTTCACGAATGTAACCCTCGCGGCTTTTTTTTATTGCCAGAGTAGAAAGCCACTGGTTTTGCATTCATGCCACTGATTTACAGAGATCGACCGTGGCTCTGAAGCCGTGTGTATGCATTTGACGTTTGAATGTCCACGTGTGTGCGTGTTTTGCGGTTAACTCGCTGCGCTACAACCCTGGCGACCCCAGTTCAATTCCTGCTTCACGGCCAACACCAGTAACGATTATCCGAACCGGACCTGGGCCTCCCCTAGGTCGACTCGGCCTCAAATGAGTACCTGGTGCGGTGTGTTAAAAACATCGCCACAGGGGAGACAAAGGCGGCCGGGCGTGGTGTTGGCCACCCACCCCCCCCCTCGTGTGCCGTGCCGGCCTTCATAGGTGCCCACTAACAGCACTTGCCCCAACAGTCTGTTAAGGCTACACGGGGGATCTTTGTCTTTGAATCCCCAATGCATCAACACCAGCACATAATTATTTCCTCACTGTCCGTAACATAATTTCATTGGCATATAACACTGTCATTAACCATGAGAAATGTCTCCATTGTCATCAGTAGGCACTGCAGTGTTACTAATTGCATTCTTACAGTCCGTCTGAGTGCTTTCATCGTTTGTATGGGTATTGTACCTACAATCTTGGTTATGATGTTTATTAGGTTGTAAAACGTGCCTCCAAGTCCATGCCTCCCAAATGTTGAACGGTGCGTGTCGTCGATGTTGGCCCGGAGACACAGGTGGAAATTCCTTATTCCTATGGGAGGGGCCAAAGGACCTGTCATCAAGTTTTACTAAATGTCTTGACCCTAAAAGGAGGGTGGATTGAGTCTCAACCCCTCACCAGGATTCAAACTCGCACGTTTTAAATCACAGGTCAAGAGCTCTAGTCATAGCTGCACCCATCTGAATATATATACTGTACCATATATGTATGTAATATATAAATATTCTTAAGTTTTTTCGGTAAAGTCATGTAGGTAAAAAATTCAAATTAATAAAAGTAAAATAAAAATTAACGTTGCCTCCGAAACGTCGTGATTTTTATTTAATTTTTATTTAACTTTTATTAATTTTTATTTTTTACCTACGTGACTTTACCGAAAAAAACTAAGAATATGAATCCTTGCAGTCACGAAAGCTTCAAATCTAGAATTAATGTATAAATATATACTGCACACAAACATTGCCAACGTGGCAGAGGACCGCATTCATAAGGTCTTCAGGTCGAATCCCAAATTAACCATCTCCTACAAGGAAATGATACCACGAGTTCCGCAATGTGAAAGGCCAATTGTGGTTATTCTATATTTATACTGGCCTTCACCACAGGAATGTGGAATTTCCACCACTGATTAGGAACAGCGATGAGCACGACCTCATGCATGTCTGAGCATGGGAACTCGCTGTGACATTGATATAGTTTTTATTCAGATTGTGCTATTTGGTGTCACGTTATGCGACAAAGAATCCATTCTGATTTATTGCAGTGGAGTGCATCACCCCATGTTAAAGAACAGCCCATGGATATCATAGAACTATGTGTGAAATCGATTCAAGTGACATTTTATCCACATTGGGGGCAGTTTTTTTTCCCACCTGCCCCGACAGTCAAAACATGTATAACTCTTTGGGCTGAAATGTTGTTAAAATTATATGCAAATGTAATATATGATGGGGGGGGGGGGGGGGGGGTTACAGCAGTCATTGGTGACGGAGCTATGCCCATCAAATCACTACACTTTGAGAACCTGGTTTTAATCAGGGGCAGTTGTCCAGATTCAAACCCATGATCTTGGCCTGCCAGCTCCGCAATCTGCCTCTTAACCGCTCTCACACTTTGACTTTGCCTCTTGGGAAATCCTTCATCCAGCAGTGAATTGTGAGAGATGATTGTAAATATAAATAAATATGCATGTGCCATACGAGCACAGTATATGCTAAGCCTATGAACCGGGTCGATGTTACAGAAAGGTAAAAAAACACATTTTCGTACCTGCCTGTCACTTACTTCGTGACCCTTAATGGATACACATTGGGCCATTTATTTATGACCTTTCAGCTATAAATATATTGTCATTAAAAACCCGTTGCACAAAGTGGAATACATCAGCGATGGGGTGATTAATAATACGGTTAATCAGTAGATTGCATTTTTTGAATTACCAATAAATGTGATAGAAATCAATTGTGCGAGTGGCTGTATGGCGAACAGAACGGGCGTGTGAAAAATTGCTCTGCTTGCACAGGAGCAAAATCTTTAGAAAATTGATCTGCTCTCTCTCACGCTCTCTCTCTCTCGGTATCTCTTGTTATCGCTTGCAGAAAAACTGTTGAGCAGCTGAACAAGGAGAACCTTGATGCCAAGAAAATCATGGAGAGTCTGAATCAGCAGGTACACTTTGACCTAGGCCAGCCGACTTACAAAAAAATATCTCAGTGCTGCAGTACACGATCGATTCAGTGCCACACAGCTTCCGTTATACAACGCCTTTGTTTACGAATGCTGCTATACCTTTGTGTTTACTCGTACTGTTTGGTACCAAATAAGTGCAATTTATTTTGGATTTCCAAAAATAGGACTAAGAAATATGACTGCAGGTGTTTTTGAGTGTTAAAATAATCTGTCCAGATGACTCGACCCATAAAACAACTACCGATTTGTGTAAGTGTGTTTTCTCACAGAGATAATCTGCCAATAGCTCAATACCTAAATGGGCCCTGCCCAGTGCATGTTGAAGCATGGGGATCCTTCGACTTTTACTCTGCAATAAAATCGAATATCTTCTTGTATTGTTACCGTGTATGTGAACTGGCTATGCAGCTGTTGTAATGTAGAATATCACTGGCAGAAGGGGAAGCAGATCATATGCTTTACATGTAAACGATAGTGACCCAACAGGATTTTTAGTTAAAATCTGACAGCGTTGCGCATGTAGCATAATTCAACATTCAAGGACAGTCTGGTGGTTGGAGTGTTCACCACTGTAGTACTTTGAAATTTTTTTGACAGTTGGAATCACTCCTTGACTCAATACTGGTTCAAAAAAAATGCTCAATTCAAAAGTCAACAAATGAACATGTCTCCCAGCTCAGGTTAACATGGAGTGGTGTTCGTCTCCATTGGTGTCCCTAAGATAGTGGCGGAAATTCCACCCCCAAAGTGGTTATACATTTGATTAATCTTCAAGGGCTAATGGGCTGAGTAGACCCTCAAATGGGGTTTGAACCCAGAATTGTTGAATTCTAAAGCAAGCAATCTGTCCACACTACCACTACCTGGTCAGAGTTTGAATTGCAATGGAATCGAGTTATAATCAATGTGAAGGTGACCAATATACTACCCAGCCCCTGATATATGAATAAACATTAAACTATGGCAATTTCCTGGCCAGCTGGCCTTCATGAGGAAGTGATGTTAAAATATCCGTTAACGAACTGGATTGTAATCAAGAAACTGCAAAATAAGATTCTGGCTTTCATCGTCTTGGTTCTTATGGTAAAGTCTTTACCGAAAGAACCAAGAAGATGAATCCCTGCAGTCACGAAAGCTTTAAATTGAAAAAGATTCTGGCTGTTTATTCTAGGTATGTGTGGAAAATACGAGGCATTTCATAGTAGTATTGGATAAGTTTTGTAATAGTACATGGTAATAAAGAATTGTAGGTTGGACAAAGAGGAGGTTGTGATGGGTGGCACACATGTGCAGGATGGAGGAGCCCAGGTTCCAAAGATAGGCATTGGAGTGGCAACTAAAGATTGGCAACCATGGGGAAGACTTACTACCAGAAGGTGGGATACTGTAAAAACAAACAAGGAAATATCACCTGTTGTCTGTTAAAGCTGATGGATGAGGGATCAAGCAAAAGTAAGTGATGAAATTGTGTGGTGGTATTATCAGCACTGGCTATTAACCTTGTTTACTGTGCACCCTTGGCAGGTCTTGGACAGGAGTGCCGAAGTCGACACTCTGCACTTGGACAACGGTAACCTCACTTCACAGTGCAGGAGCCTACAGGCGGAGCTGGAGGCCCTGTCTCGCAAGGTCACGAGCAAAGATCAGCAGCCGAGTCATCCACAAGGCTTGGATGCTCTTGTAACTATGGGACAGAACCAGACTGAGGCATATGCTCGTCTGGAAGAGCCCACGAGTCACATTTCTTCAGGCCTTCCTCATCATCCAAGTCAGAAGGAAATGGTTGCCAGGCAACCAGATAGGGCCGAATCCTCCCCGTGCCTGGAGGGTCCAACGGAACATGTCTCCTCAGGCTTGCCTCACCATCCAAGACAGAATGAAACAATCTCAGAACAGTCGGGCCTAGTGGAGGCCTCATCTTACATGGATGGCCCCTCTCAAAATGGCGCCCGACCCTGCCATCCCAGTGGGCGCGAAGCCATTACCAAGCAGCGCGAACAGGCCGAAGCCTCTCATCGTCTGGAGGCTGAGCAGCAGCGACAAAAAGAGGTTAGAAATGCACAGCGACATGGTAATAACAATACGACAGCATTCGCATGAAAAAAGACAATTGAACAAGTTTAAAAAGTCTGTTTCTTTACTCAAATGAACATTTGGTGATGCTCATGTCTGCTGGATGACACAAAGCCAGTGCTGTAAATTCTACATTCCTATGTGCGAATGCCAGTTGGTCCACATAACGAGTGCTGTTCTCAAAGAATTACAGTAAACTCTTGTTAATTCGACACAAATGGGGCTCTGGCCTTGCCGAATGATCCAATATTCCGAATTATGTACAATGGTACTCCACCGTGCCTCCTGCCCTAATATTTTTTTTTACACAAATTTGTTTCCCAAACTCTTCACACACCATACGCATTGACACACCTGCATCAATTCTATCCAAAACTTTGGATTTGTCTCGCAGACTAAGGGATTTATACTTCAGTCCCTTTCTATTGCTTCTTGATGTAGGTGTAGATGACATTGTTGAGAGGTATTGGCTTGCACAGAGTGCATAAACAAGGTAAAGTCCAAAGCAACAGGTCTAAATTAACGCTCACCACACGCGCCACCACCAGACCGAGTCGTTGTTTAGGTCGTGGCGTCGCTCCACGTGTATGCCAAAATTTGACCATTCGGTACAGCAATTCGGCTCGTGGTGAATTACTAATACACCATATAGATGCCGAAAGCACAGCCGTGCCGAATTATCCCCAATTACAAATTAATTATCAAATACCGAAATAACGGGATTTTACTGTACTCACTTTTTTTAACCCTGGAGAGATGATAAAAGGCTGGGTTGATTTCCAATGGGGATGTGAACTTGCGATCTTCAGGACCATAGCACCACCGAGCCAGATAAATATCCAGATTTGAAGCTTTCGTGACTGCAAGGATTAATATTCTTGGGTTTTTTCGGTAAAGTCACGTAGGTAATTTTATTTTTTATTTTTTACCTACGTGACTTTACCGAAAAAAGCCAAGAATACAGATAAATATCCTTAACAATTGCAGTAATAACTTCAGTACAGTATGTAATGGTAAGGCCATTGAGTTGAATGTCCTAGAAGTGGCTTTCGCGTGTTGTCCACCAGTCAGCCCTGCCTCTTTTGTATGCTCCCCCCCCCTGACTCAGCAGTCCCAGCAATATGCAACATTTGACAGATGTATAAATCTCTTACCCATTTTCCATTTGTGCTAAAGCTGTTTATAATTGTTTATGGAACGTGAAAACACTCGATTGCAAGGCTCATCGTACTAAATGATTGCTTGCCTGTCACTGCCCACGCAAACAATTTGTGCCAGAAAATAAGGAAAGAATTTCAGCGCTGGCAAAACCCTCCTACAAAAACGATAATAATAATTTTATTTTATATACCGTCATTCATGGAAATTGCATCTAAAAACGCTGAACAATTCGAGTGACATTTTAACGTAAATAAACGGATGAGAACACCACAGGGAAATAACACGAACAAAATCAGCGTATGGGGTAAACACAACATGAACCCGGCAGGGTCACAGTAAACATTCGAGCACCCAACATCAGAACAAAGGCCAGGGAATGACCACAGATATGTCCAAAGCACCAACCCTGGAGGGATCCCCTCAGTACCTCAGAACAGCCAAGAGGGCCCGATATTGCCACATCTCAGAAGATAAGTAGGTTTGAGCATAGATAGTGCTTTGATGGGTGACCACCTACATAACAGGTGTGATAAGCTGTACAACTCTTTAGGTAACATCAGAGAGCAGTGCATCAAAATCCAGTGTTGTACTATACTTGTGTGATCCCACGTCTTTGCTCTCCTTTCTTCAACCTGCACCGATCATCATGGTGAGGTATAGTCAAATAACTCAATCTGCATAACGTGAGGAGGCCCTCATCCAGCAGTGGATTGACTAAGGGGATGTTTGTGCGCACAAACACATTCCTGCCCCCTCTGTGAGCGGATATAAGTACAATCTTGATTCGACGCTTTCGTGACTGCAGGATTCCATACTCTTTTGTTCTTTCGGTAAAGTCACGTAGGTTAAAAAAAATAGATCACAACGTTTCGATCGCCACACAAGCAAGTACAGTTCACCAATGCATTTTCTACACTCTCTTCAGATGCCCACACCCAGCCCTGCTGCCCTACCACAATCTGTCTGTGCGTGGTGGTTGCTCATGAAAGCGCCATCCCAACCCTGCTGAGTTCTTGAGATCTGACGAGATCAAGCATATTTCGGGGTGCTTTGCCCATCTAGCCAAATTCAACGAAACATACCATTCAATGTAATTTATTTCAAATGTATATTTAAAGGTATTCATGGAACACAAATACAAGGTATTATTAATATGTTCATTGAACTTTTTCTTCTTGGTTCTTTCAGTAAAGTCACGTAGAAGGGAAGTAATAAAATAATAAAAATAAAACATAATAAAAATAATTCTCACGACGTTTCGGCCACAACGCAAGCAGCCGTCCTCCGGTGAAGACCAGGTCTGTCGGGGAGACAGCGTCTGAATGCTAGAATGGATTCCTGCAGTCAAAAATATTCATTGAACACGATGGATGTTTTTACCGCTGTCCCACTGCTTCCCCGGCACAGGCCGAGGCCCGCATTGCCAGGCTTGAGGCGACCGTGGAGGCAGCCGAGCTGAAGGTTCGCCTTCTGGAGGAGGAGAGGCGGACACTCAAGCGGGATCTGGCGGCCTCAAAGGATAAGGTAGCTCACTCCTTACCCAATCGACTTGCATAATGCGCATGCATAATGCACGTTGATTACCATATAAATGACCCAAACGGAAATGGATACCCATAGTCATTTATATGCATTAATTAATCTCCCCCCCCCTTCGCGCAAGAAGAGAACACAAGTCTTCACATCTACGCCTCTATTTAAGGAATGAAACAGGTTGACTTCTCCACAAATCTGGCTGTCGCCTGATGAAGCTAGTTGTAATTACTGGAGAAACGTCGTACTCAGATTGTAAATGTTGTGGCTTGGCTCTCGAACACACCGGTGTGCTGTACTAGTGACGAATTGGCATGTTCTGTTTACATGGCGGGTGTTAACGACACGTTTATATATTTACGCGATTTAACCAAAAAAACCTGTATTATAGCTCACTCCTGCACAACACAGAGCAATAGGCTGGCTTAATCACAGGCAGCTGCCTGGCTTCGAACCCGGCTTCTGGGGTGCCGCGGTGCCGAGATGATAACTCCCTCGCCTGGTATGCAGGAGGTTGTGGGTTCGATCATGGCCCTGATGCCTGTATGTTTGGAGTTTGCATGCTCTCCCTGTGGTCGTGTGGATTTTTCTCCACGTCCTCCGGTTTTCCCCTCCTCGTTTAGAATAATGCATTTAGAGTATTTGGCTGCTATACATTTCCACGTCATAAGCCACTTTGTTGAGTGATCATTTCTGTCCAAGTCGCTTATGAAAAAGAGCTATGTAGCTCAGTGGGCCTTATATAGTAAAATAAAAATAGTTTCGTTTAAAAATGATTTTTTTTTAGTTAATCGTTTCTCAGTGTTTCCAGCTCAGCCTCTAACCTCTGAGCCACCGACCCACCGACCCACCTCAATATGACACCTTTTTAATGTTGGATTCAATCAAACTCACCTGGAATTATTTGTGCAAATTGCAAGATTTACATTCTGATTCATGCATAAAAGGAGAAGCAACCTCAGGTGGATTTTCCAAAGGTCATCGTGAATTGTGACCACGCTAACCTTGCTTGGGCATTCGAGGTGGTTGAGTAGGTGGAACTATGGCAGATAGTAGGTAGCCGAGTGATCCTTGTGGGTTGTCTGTTTGCCCCTGATTTGAGAGTTGTCTTTACTCGTAGATGCATTCAGTGCATGTTGCTTCATGCACATATGAATTTGGGTGTTTTGGCTGACGTGGGATAGTGATGCGAGTGGATTTTGAGAAATGTCATGAGGTTATCCGAGATTCAGAACTTTGTTATTTCTCAGCTGTCTGGGTCATTGTAAAGAGAAGTGCTTTGCGGGATTAGAACAATTGTCATCTTGAGCAATAGACTCGCACTCGTCAATTGAATGGGGAATTTCCAGCGCTGGCTGAGGGCTGCCAACGGATGCGTTGAGCGTGGAGACATTTACCTTTTTTGTGTGTAGGCATTCTATCGAGCAGCCGAGGATGTGTCTCAGCTGTCCACGTTGGCGAAGGACCGAGATCTTCTACAGGAGGAGAGGGACGTGCTCTCTCGGGAGCTCGACGCTTACAGAACCCAGGTAACACACTTCACCACATGCTCACCACGCAACACATGGTACAACCTACCCTCACAAAGCAACCCATGCGACGACCTATTCTCACCACGCAACACGCACACAATCTACACTGGCCCGCCTCTCATGTGCTACAACTCTACCTCAGCACCCACTGCAAAATACAACTTGTCCGAACCACCTTCAGAGAGAGACAGAACAATGTGACCTCACCACGGCTCGGTCAGGGGTCAGCTCAGCCATTCACAGTTTTTAATTCTATGTCGATCGTGTGCAGGTGACGCGCCTCTCCCACGTGGAGCGGGAGGTGGGCAGCCTTCGTGAGAACAAACAGAAGCTGGAACAGCACTCGCAGGCCATGTCCGAGCACCTGCACCAGTCCAGCGAGAAGGTGCCTTCCCCTCGCCCCTGCCCCCGTATGACCTCGTATGAACACCCAGAGGACACGTTTCACCTCGGCAAATGATGCGGCACATTTGAGCGGTGCTGGTATTACAGTCATTCGACGATGCTAGTTGACTCGGGTATTATTTGATCGCAATGTCTGTGCATTGTGTTAGTCATCCGTGGTTGGAGCGATCGATCACATTCGTGAATGTTGCAGTTTCAATCCCAATCACACCTCTAGACTCATTCGTTTTGTGGTTAATAAACTGAGTACCATTTTTGTGGGAATTCAACGCTCATAAATTTAGGGAGAGACTGGTTCCATCATAGCAATGTGTTTTTTTCATATAGCTTATGAGCACCTTTCTGCATTCCTGGGAGATTGATACATTTATCTTTAAAAAAACACACACATTTGAGACGTAAGATGAATTTTATTTCTAAAGTTTAACATGGTCATTAGATACATTGCCAATTTAAAGCTAAACGAATGTGGTTTGGCTAACCTTGTGTCTGCGCACGTGTGTGCACATGTGGATGAATGGCTCTTGCTTACCTCCTGAGTAGATAAAGAGCCTTGACACGAGCCTTCTCAGCGCTACGGCTCAGACGGCTGCTCTCCAGTCCGACCTGCGCCTGGCGCAGCAGGAGAGGGAGACCCTGCGGCAGGAGGTGGTGTCGATGACGCGGGCGCTGCAGCTCACACGGGACAAGGTGGGGCAGCACTTGGCATATCTGTGACTCGTTCTACGTATGTTTTATGTATGTTAAACTTCGTTTGCACCGTACATAGCCAACCGTACTAATCAGAGGTGCAGGGGAAGGACAACAAACTAAACGTTCTAAAAAGTTCTAAAGAAATTAGTTTTTAATCTGAATTTAAAAGTGCATATCTCCAATGGCTTCCTAATATTGGAAAAAAGAGTGTTCCAAGTTCAAGTTCATTTATTAGGTATAGCCCTGTGAGCCATTCGGCTCTTGAATCGGGTGCAACCGCAACAAACAAAAAACAAAAACATGAACAAAAAAAACAGACGGCTGTAGACGCGCATCTGAAAGAGCGTAATTTGGTGACCATCTTTGTTCAATGGCTAGCCAAAAGCCACTGCGAGGTTGACGGGATCTCGCTTGATGGTTTATGCTCCTTGACGAGATCAGCAAAATGAACATCTGGTCTTAGTAAGTTCTCATCTGCTTTAATTGAAGGAAATGTGTTTATCAGCATTAAATATCTATGTATATGTGTGTGTGTGTTTACAAAATCTGAGGAGAGTGCTATGTTGAGTGCATTGTTCCATGAACGTGATCACCTGAATTTGATCCCTGGCCACGGATAACAATACTGGCTCCCCTTCACTTACCTGCACGGAGTAGCATCTCATCCAGCAGGCGATTGACAAAGAGCACTAAATCATTGCATTTATAATATTTTTGTGCCGGTTGCTGGAACTTAGTGGGTAATGCCAAATTTGTTGAATAATTAATCCAACTATTTGGGTCATTGCTATTGTTGTTGTTGTTACGAGATGAGTAATGGCATAAATATATTGTTAATTTCTCTTCCTCAAAGAGTGACTAGTGAACTCGATGATTAATTGCTGTAACTATTTTGAGTTATTACTCATCTCGATAGGTAACTGCCGTAGCTCGATAAATGACAAATCAACTCGGTTGTGAATTACTGTAAACTCGGTTCGTATTTAACATTGGATCTCCATGGATCATCACCGCTACCCAATGGACAACTACTGTCCAGAATGGCTCCTCTGTACAGCTCTCCCATGTGTTTTGGGGTTTTCCCACGTGCTTGTTTGGCTTGATGTCCGATATTTCGCTCCACATTCTGGCAGTTTCTTCAACAACTTCATTGGTCGCGGTAGAACCCCAAAAATTGCATCGGCGTGCCCTACGTCACGACTACGAAAACGTACCTGGCGATATGGCTCCTACAGCCCACGGTGCCCGTCCCCCGCACACACCTAACATCTACTCCGCTGCTGCAGGCGTACGCACTGGAGTGCTCGGCTCAGGCGGCGTCCGACACGTCCCAACAGAAGCAGCTGTTCCGCGAGGGCGTCACGCGGCTCACGGAGCGCGAGCTTCGTGAGCAACGCAGTGAGAACGATCATCTCGCCCACGAGGCTCAGCTCGCACGCGCAGAGCTGGCGCACGCGCGCGACAAGGTACTGCACAACCCCCCGCAACCCTCCCCTACAGTTAAACTAAAACTAAACAGTTTTTCGATTTAAAGCTTTCGTGACTGCAGGGATTCATCTTCTTGGTTCTTTCGGTAAAGTCACGTAGAAGGGAAGTAATAAAATAATAAAAATAAAACATAATAAAATAATTCTCACGACGTTTTGGCTACAACGTGAAGACGGCTGCTTGCGTTGTAGCCGAAACGTCGTGAGAATTATTTTATTATGTTTTATTTTTATTATTTTATTACTTCCCTTCTACGTGACTTTACCGAAAGAACCAAGAAGATAAACAGTTTCTATTTGAATTTTGCGAGGTAAAGCCCACTGGGCTATACAGCTTGTGGCCTGGCCACAAATGATAGCTCAACGGAAGTGGCTTATCATGTGGATATGTATAGCAGCCAAATATTCTAAACGCTATTCCCCGCAGGGGCTCTGTAGCGCACGTTTGCACGTGTTGCAGATTTCTCGTGGTTGTTCTGGAGAGAGTTTGGCCTCCCGCTAAGGCTGTTTGAATGTTCACCAGTGGGTCAGGGCTACCGACACTGATGACCACCACTCCAGTGCTCATTTGAGCAAGGAAACACTTGACTTTTGAATTGACACGCTACTTTTTTTTCAACAACAAAAAAACACTCAACACACTTGTCAACAACGCTGCCTTAAAATAAAATAATATGTAATCGGTGACATTGCAGGCAAGGCCCCCCCCCCCCCCCTCATTCATAGTACGTGATATTCAGGCCTAATTGCTGGAAATGTGGTATTTGAAAGTGGTGATCGGTTATTTATTTATATAATTGCATAAATGCACCGCTGCAAGTGCAGCAGCAGGACCAACTAATTGGTTTACTTTTTCTTTTAATCACAGTTGCCTAGTACAAGGCTCAAAGGCCCAATGCTCCAAGCAGCCAGAGTAAAACAAGAAGATACGAATAGATAAACAGAAAATTGTTAATTCGTTGGGAAAATACACGATAGGGGGCAATTCGAAAGTCGAGCAATGGGAGAAAAATAAACGTAACGATGAGTGTTCTGACCCGCAGTGTGCGTGCTTGATCACGGCGTGGATGAGACAACGTCTGCAGTAGTACCATGTTGTCCGTGAGAGACACCAAGGGAGGAGAGGGCACTGAATGTAATTACATGTTGACTGCCCTCTAGGTTTATTCTCCAGCACGGCGGTGCGAGACCCTGCTTAACCAACCTCCAAACCGCCCCCCCCCCACCCCGTGTCGCCCAGGTCTCGCAGCTGGAGATGGCGATGGCTTCGCTGCAGCAGAATGGGCACATGGCGCATGCGAGGCTGCTGCAGCTGTCGGAGCAGGAGGTGCTCTCCCTGCGGGGCCGCGTCGACGCCCTGCAGGCCCAGCTCCGGGCACACCAGGAGAAGGTGCCCTCACGCGCCGTCACCCTGAGCTCACGCAACGCGAGCACACGCGTGCCAACTCGCGCGCGGACGCACACACGCACACACGCATACGCACGCGCACGCACACACACGCAAACGCACGCACACGCACGCACGCACACGCACACGCACGCACAAAGACAAAAGGATGGATCCCCCGTATAGCCTTAACAGACTGTAGGGGCAAGTGCTGTTAGCGAGCACCTATGAAGGCCGGAACGGTACACGAGGGGGTGGGTGGTCCAGCACCACGCCCGACCGCCTTTGTCTACCTAGTGGCAATGTTTACACACTGCACCAGGTACTCATTTGAGGCTGAGTCGACCTAGGGGTGGTCCGGGACCGGTTCAGATAATTGTCACCGATGTTGGCAGTGCGCGGGAATCGAACCCGTGTCGCCGGGTTCATAGCGCAGCGCGCTAACCGCTACACTATCGCTCCCCACACGCACACACACGCGTGCACTCGGGCTCCGAGATTAGTATGAAGGCACACGAGCACGCACGTACGTGTCCACAAGCTCACTTGCAGCGCCCACACCCAAACGATGGGAGCAGGCGTGCGTTCAAATCGCACGAGTGCGCGCGTGCATGGACACACGTTCGCGTGTACACAAATTCGTGGGCGCAGTCACAAAAGTGCGTGAATTTGTGTGCCTGTGAACTCATACGCACGCAATTATGCACGCTTACTTATATCCACGCAAACGGGCTTGCAGGTACATAAAGCACTCACACACTCGGACTGGATACACCCGCACACACAATTACCACGAGCATATTCAATTGTACATGCATGCATGCTCATTCGCATGCATGTGTGTCCACATGCACATTAACACATACCTAAGCACTCTGGTATAGTTGTGCATAATCGCCCAGACTTAATTGCCCTTATTTAGATGTGCACAATAGGAAATGGGAGGTGGCAGCATTTCCGTTTGCAATAATAAATAGCAATTTTCATGTGTCAGTAAACAAACAAAGAAACATTGCTGACTTTTGACATTGTGTTTGGTGCAGCCTCAAACTTACAATAAAAAGTTTTAATGGTGTACAATATCAAATTTCTACTGTCAAACTTTATTAAATCCTTCTTGAAATTATTACGTTTGTTGATTTCAACATGGTAGAATTTAATAAGGTCTTGAGGCTGAAAAGTGTATTTCTATTCTGCCCCAAACTTTTTTAAATCAATTTAAGAATAAAAGTATTTTTTTAAATTGTATGTATTTATACTGCACCTGTGAATACATACTTATCCAGGTGGTGGTGCTGTGGCAGACCATTTGAGCTTGCAAGTTCAAACCTCTGCGAGGAATCAACCGAGCCCATCATCATTCTGTGGTCAATAAAATAAGCATGATTTGTTGGTGGGACGGCACTGGTTTTCCATAGTGATATGGAATGTCTACCATCTGCTCATGGCCATCAACAGTCAGTGAGCACTACCGCACGATCCTTTAAGGTTTGACATGATTTAGGTCTCGGTGGACAAGCACACTCGTGTTATCAGAATCAGAATCTCTATTTATACTGCAGTAATCCAATGAGCTATAAAGCTCTTCTTCACAGATGTCCAGTAGGGGGTGGGTCAGAAAGTTCTAACAATGAACAATAGAAAAACACGATAGGAATGCAAAGTATAGGAAATGTAAGCAAATCACACAAAAATTGTTTTACCAGGTAAAGCCCACTGAGCTATTAGCTTCTTTTTCAGAAGTGCCCTGGCCACAAATGATAGCTCAACGAAGTGGCTTACCGTGTCGAAATTAATAAATTTATACTAATGGTGCCTCCTTGCTCAAATGAGCATCGTTTCATCGTCGTCGTCGTCAATGTCGTTGTTGCTCTTGGGCAGGTGAAGCAGATGGGTGAAGTGGAAGTGGAGTTGCAGCAGGCGCGGGCGGAGAGCAGCCGACTGCGGGAGGAGAACGCCCAGATGCAAGAGCGCCTGTCCAACTCGCTCAGACAGGTGACCGAGGCGGGTGTTGCCACCGTGTCGACCCGGGCACAGAAATAGCTACGGATTGGATTATGTTGTTGAGCAATAATGTACCGTGACGATCATCGAGGGGTGCCGCCATTACATCACTGCAAGTATGTCATTGTTTAGAGAGTGGTTTGGCCAACCGTCTGTGCAGCCCAAAGGCCTTAATTACGACCGCGTTATTGAGCTATTTCCGTAGAGTCAACAAGGGTCGTTGTTGCAGTCTTCTGTTTTAGTTTTGGCGGCCGGGTCCGTGTTGCTTGACATCACATCGCACCGATTGCATGCCACGCTCAGAATACTTTTTTGATGTAATATCATACACGGGTCGTGCACGACGCCCGTCGAAGATTGCGTTGCTCGAGTGTCACTAATAACAAGTGAGTAAATTTAGCCTGCTCATGAAACTTTACACAGCAGTGTGTCAGTCGCTTAACGCTTCGATACATTCCACAGATATGCATCATTTACAGCGAACCTTCATGTACAATACACCGACTATAGGAGGGTGAGCTGACTGGTCTCAGCTCACAGACAAATAAACTTGGTGTATATTGTTGTGACCAACGTGAAGCTCAACATTAATGACCCGCAATATGAACGCAATTGCAGTGTGCTACGGGGACATCATCAGATGCAGAGCAGCAAATAGTTGCTTAATCATCCACAGGAATTTTTAGAGAATTTCCCTTTGTATACATCGGTTACTCCAGTTTCCTCCCACGTGCAAAACATAATCAACAGGGAATTAACCAAAACATCCCAGGCAGAACCCAACTGCAAAAATTGTGTTTTGCCTAAGAGAGGCTTTAACAGATGATTTTGAAGGTCTCTAAAAAACGAATTAAAAAAAAGTAGGTGGCAGCAGCACTGCTGAGGTCCTCGATTAAAATCTGGGCCCGCCACCCGTGATTCAAAACGGGTTTCCAAGCAGAAAGAGTCAATGGTGTCAGCATGGTGATTTGGCTGAATGCAGGCTCTGAGAATCCACTTGTTGGCTTCAATGTCATGTCGCAAATACCAACCTCATATCATTAACACGTGGAAAAGTGTGTCCCCCTTTTATGTAAAGAATGAAGATTTTTTTAAAAGAAGTTCCGTGAAAATTTCCAGTGCCGCTGTTTTTCTCGGACATATGGGGGGGGGGGGTAGGACTTTTCCCGGGAGATTTAGGCATACTATGGACAGAGATCAGGACGAATATATTGTACTTAAGAATAATATATCCTGCAAATTGGTTTTGGGAAAACGACGTCAAAAGATTATTAACAATGGTCAGGAGTACAGGCATTGCATCTTAAATATGTTCACGTTATTATTGCTCGAGCACACAAGCAACAATTAGGTATGACGTTTCGCTAGTAATTGCATCTAGCATCATTCAGTGAATGACTTGAACTCTGACAATAATATGACGGTGCTAGATGCTATTACCAACGAAACTTCGTACCTCAATATAACCCAAAAACTAATTATCAATCATTATAATTGGTTTCCAAAAACCAACATGTGCGGGGTTTTTACTTTGTCATTCCCATTACGTGTGGGTGTTACCCGCTCCATACACATTTCAGACATGCAGCTGAAACAGAGTGAAGTCCTCATCATCGTGTGCGCGTGCGTACGTGCGTACGTGCAAAGACAAATATCCCCCTTGGAGAGCGATGGCGCAGTGGTTAGCACACTGCGCTATGAACCCGGTGACCCGAGTTCGATTTCCTCTCACAGCCAACACCAGTGACGAATATCTGAATCGGTCCTGGGCCTCTCCTAGGTCGACTCAGCCTCAAATGAGTACCTGGTGTGATGTGTAAACATTGCCACTGTGGGAGACAAAGTCGGCCGGGCGTGGTGCTATAGCCCCCCACCCCTTCATGTGCCGTGCCGGCCTTCATAAGTGCTAGTCGCGAACAGCACTTGCCCCAACAGTCTGCTTAGGCGATATGGGGGGGGGGGGGGGATCTTTGTCTTAGTTTTTTGTGTGTGTGTGCATGCACCACTATCGCCCTCCCTATTGGACAGGCGCAGTCGCACGTCCCGCTTGCTCGCCTCGAGGAGGTGCGGCAGAGGCTGGCGGAGGAGGAGCAGCGGGTGCGACATCTGGAGAGCGAGCTGGAGCACGGTCGTTCGGCCGGGAGCACGGCTGAGCAGCAGGTGGGCTCTGCGCCATTGCCAGGCCACCGCAGTGCTCGCGGGTCGTTAAGGCCGCTGCCACGGCGGTGTCATGGTTAGCGTGCTGGACTCGCTATACGGAGGTCGCCGATTCAATTGGAAAATAAATTCTAAGTTTATTTGTCATATGTACAGGATAGGGCGAAGTGTACATGGCACAATGAAATGTTTTCATCCACTTCTTAAGTAAAATATCTATAATAATACATCTCTACGCCTCTGTCCACCCAGAAGTATGAATGGGTACACCATGATAGTTTATCGACAGGTCGTGTGCCGTGAGGTAAAGTGTGGGTACTCCCAATTTTTCAAAAACAACGAGTTGATGTGGAAGAGCAGGCAAAATACACTCTAGCAGGGGGGGGGAGGGGCTCTTTAAAGCTTTAGCGGAGATCCTTCCTCCAGCAGGGACGTGAGCAAGAAATTGCAGCCCTGCACTTGTACCTTTGCCTAATTATCATTTTTGTAGCTTTACATTAGCACTCGTACCCAGCGTGATGTGTCTCTGGATGTAGGAAACTTTCACTTGACCTTGCGCTCATTTTCTCAAATAACAAAAGTGTCGAGCTAAAAAATTCTGCCGTCTGGAAGTGGTGGATTGGAGGAAGTCTCAGGATGTGTATATGTCTGTGATGTGTGACACGTCGTATTTGGCAGAGTCCTGCAGTTGGCATGTGGATAGTGTCGTCTTCTAGCGTGAACAGCAACGCACGTTCATCATGTACACCTTCTGTACATTTAGGCAAATATTGTGCGAGTCGACATTAATTATTGCTTGTCGTAGCAGTTGGGATTTGAGGCTTGTTCAAATGCAAATCTATCTTTGTGATCGTTATAAAAAAGGGAATTTTGAATTCCGTTTGCCATGAAAGGCACAATTTGCATTCGTGACGTAGAAGAGACACTGCTTCGGGAGGCTTTCATCTGGCCCCAGATGAAGGAATTGATTAATAGAAACCTCACGTTCTTTTAACCACTCGCACATTGATCTGCACTTAGATTTAGAAGTGGCCTCATGGCTCTGGGGGGTCGATGTTTTGCCCTTGCCAGAGCGCTGAACCAGAACCCGCCGAGGCCCTGCGTTCAAATCCTTGGCTCCCGCTTGTGATTAAACTGAGTTCTCATGCATTTCAATATCGGTCACCAGTGACGATAAAACACAAAAAAGCTTTTGTTCATTAAACAAGTGGGCGTTCCAGACGAGTGTTCTTCTGCAGCAGCCATTTTTTTTCCAACAAGGGAAGCCTTTGACCAGTTTTGACATCTTTGAGCCTCATCTGAAGTCTCCTGTCTTTCATCTGGACTGCTAAATAAATCTGCAGCATGTTGCACTGTTAACCAAATGCTGATGCGCTACCTCGTGTTATAACAGTGGGGCACCTAAGTCCTGTTCAAAGTCCAGATACATTGTGCTGCTTTTGCATCGTCGTTTTTCAGAGGCAGAGCCGTATTTGTGAGCATCATTGCTACACAGTGTGATTTTTTTTGGTTGGTAGATGTGTGTGGTACTTGGTTTAATGGCCCAAGCTCTACTGATGAGGCTCAGAGAAGTCAAAACTGGCCTATGGCTTGCCTCGCTGTAACAAGTCCTACTGCGAGGCATTGATCTGGAATGCTAATTGGCTTATAGTTTAAATACGATTCTCCTGCAGTGATTGAGCAAAGCAATTGTTTCAACGTACGTGTTTATTTCATCGGATGATGACGCAAAGACACCACGTTGTATTCATCGTATGTAGGAAAGCTCTCTTGTGATAGCTGGTAATAAAGGTAAATTGAAAAGATACAGGCATTTTTATTCGAGCTCATCATCCCTCCGAGGTCGATAAAATAACTACCACTCTATGTGAAGTCAGCAGTGGGGGTCCTTTCCAGAAAGTGTCTCACATCAGTGGAATGTGGAATTTTCACCAATGGTTCAGGGCTGCCAACTGAGGCAAGCATTGCCCCAACACCATCTGTAGCAGAGAGAGCCTTAAATGTGACATGGTGGTTCGCGCACAAGACTGTGAACCTGACGACCTGAGTTTGAGTCCCGGCCACTGCTGTAATCAGTGGCGAGTATCAGAACCGGTCCTGGGTTCCCATTCCCCAGTCAGCAAGCCGCACTGACCAGTGTAGTGAAGTATGGTCAAACAAACAACCTCTAGGATTGATCCTGGCATGGGGGGGAGGGGGGGGTGGAGTGGGGCAGGGGGTGAGGGAGACCTTCATGAAACAGTGCATCTAAAAGAGAGACTATACATTATAATTAGTTATCGAAAGGAGAACGTAATGCGCGAGAGAGATTTTGCTCACCAATGGCTGCCCGCGTGCGCGTTCAGGAGGCATACGAGCGCATGCTGAAGAGCATGGGCTCGCGCATGGAGGAGGTGGAAGGGAAGCTCAAGTCCGTGCGCGTGATGCTGCAGGAGAAGGTGACGCAGCTCAGGGAGCAGGTACTTACTACCGCTGTACGGCCGATGGAGTCCCCCCACCCTTGCAAGCTGCTGCACCGCATACAACGTACACACTGACCTCGTATGCCACAAGCGGTGGGGGGGGGGGAGGTACTTACGTCTGTGATTACTGTGCGCCGCAGCCAGAGATGACGATGATAAAGGTGACAGTGGTGAGGATTCGTTTTTGATGGAGCAGTGCCCTCCTTTACGCTGTGGCATCTCGGAGCGACTTACATCCCATCCCAGCACTGTTTGAAATGGCACCCCCAGTCGAAGTCGCTCCTGCTGCGGCGCAAGGCAACTCAGCACCTGGTCTGAAAGCGGGCAATGGTCTGCCAGTAATGGGTGGTGATGATTGCTAATGGGGGTGATTTGCACCTCCGATGAGCACGGCTGGCTACATACGGTGCGAAAGAAGTTCAACGTACACACGTACATTGCTCTGCGTAATCCCAAATGCAGTAATTTACAGATTGTTCGCATTTTTGCAAATTTGGACCATGACGCCGGCACACAGTGATCCACGCATTTCAAATTACGTGGGGGGATCTCTAACGTCCACTGTGAAGCAGATGGCACTCAAAGTAATAACCAGGGAGGCCTGCCGGATACGAATCGCGAACCTCTGTGTAACAAGCGGTGAATGCATCACCGCCCCATGGAATATGGATGATGGGGATACTTGAAATAGCAGCCGTTTGTCAGCTCTGCAATAGTTGCCACAATTTGGAAGGAAGTGATGTCAAGGTGTGGCGTGACATCATCACCTCGGCCGTGATGACCTTTAAACCTTGACCACGATGTGTAATAGTATTACCAACGCGCTGTCGGGGGAAGTTTTTTTTGTCAACACACACACACACACACGCGCGCGTGCTTTACGTGGCTTGTCATCTCGCCCGCCAAACAGCTGAACCGCAACGAGCAGGCGGACATGCGCATCAAGGACCTGTACGTGGAGAACTCGAAGCTCATGAAAGACCTGCAGCTCATGGAGCAGCGGCAGCGCACGGCCGAGCGCAAGAGCTTCCTGCTGGAAGAGAAGGTGGTCGCTCTCAACAAGCTGCTGCGCAAGCTGGTGCCGGAGCCCCTCCAGCCCATGCTGTGAAACCACGCTTGGTCCAACCTCCATGCAACCAGGCAAAGGCCAAACGAGCAAACAAAAAAACAGGGTGCCAGGTCCAGCGTTTGTCAGGCGGTTGAACCGCTGGCCTGCTGGACTCGTGGTGCGACAATCCCGCGAGTCACCATTTTTGGAAGGGACACAGTTGGTCGATTGCACGTGCTGCAATTGGCGTGTGCACGAGAAGTACCCAATCGTGCAGGGCTACGGTGAGTCTGTACAGCAAGTAGGTGGTTGCCAACCACTCTGTGCAGAATTTTGAATATTGATCCTCGTGTGTGGGCGGTTTTCTCCAGGCACTTCCTCCGGCGTGAAGTGCCGTTACTCAAAAAGGAGACGTGGCAAGATACAGCGGGGATGACCCTTCGGAGTGAATTGTTTGGGTTAAGAAACGACTCGTGTGATATTATTTACCACCATGCAGTGAGAAATAGCCCAACACCGCCTCTGCCAAAGGTTTGTCATCTCTAATGACTACTCGTCAGGGTCATGACCATACCAGCCAACAAAGCGGACCACTCGACAAAGCCACACTCCCTTATCTCCATCGGAATTAATGAAACCTCCAGCGCAATGCTACAGAATGGAGCGATGCGGCGAACAGTAAACGGTACGACGGAATGGCTTTCGGCCGCCCCCGGGGCACGCTGCATCTTGGGGAGTGTTGCGGTTGCTGTTGCCAGTTTGCCGCTACCACCATGGAGGCTGCTGTGGCTAATCCAGTGCCCTTTTTGGGCATTTGCCAGTGCACCGCGTCCCGAAACGAGGTAGGACAATCGTGAGGCTGTCCCCGGCTGTTTTTCTTTGACGGCAGACCAAAGGTGTGTTAGACGTTGTGTGCCTTTATTAAAAATACATGAACTCCGACACACAAAGGGCAAACGTATCCCCACCCCGTTTTTCCTTATAGCTGGTACAGGCGAGTACTGTTAGTGAGCACCTACAAAGGCTGGTGCGGTGTGCGATGGCGCGGTGTGGCAGGACACCCACACCCGACCGCCTCTGTCTCCCCACTGCTGATGTTTACATGCCGCGCACGGTACTTGTTTGAGACATCTGACATCACTTGCCAATTCCGTTTATGTATCATGGCCAGGAATCAAACTCGCATCACGAAAATTGTAGCAGCAAAGTCCGCTGAATCAGCACACCAACCACGCTAAACTGCCACATCTCTGCTCCTACACATACAAGTGCCTGGATATGCCAGTAATCAATAATTCAGCGTGATGATTGTATTTAAAAATGAGAGCATCTAACATCAAGGCTTGAACTCAGGCCGCACCACCTTTCAAGTGCAATGGTCGTAGTGCACTGAGTGTACTAAAGTAGTTTTACAATAAGGTGTGTAACTACGTCCCCTATCATGGTGTGTACATTTCTTTGAGAGCTAAGACGGTCTTATAACGCTAACTTTGCATCATGTGACAAGCAATTACGCTTTTTTGTGACTCATTTTTTAAAGCTATATAAACCTTTTACCAAATCCATATTTATAAATTGGGTTCAAACAAGCTTTTAACAAAGCTTTAGATTTTAAGGTGATGCCACTAAGATGTTTCACGGGCGATTGCATTTGCGACGTGTCTTTAAAGATTCATGATCAGAGCTGCAAAGTGCCACTGAAGCATCCCCTGTGTCTTCACAATCAGACTGTTGCCTCGAATCGTGTATATTCCAGCACAATCACGATGAATGTTTTCAGAGATGAATTCTAAAAAATATATATATAAAATTACAGAACACGCCTAGGTGTGACCCACTGGCCGAGCAGCCCGAAGGTTGACCTGTAGACTTCCGTTGTTGGTCGAATCAACCCATGATTTCTCCCCAGTGGCTGTCCTATTGAATGACTGGCCCCACCATGCTAATGTGAAACTTCCACCACTGGCCAAAGTAGACAAACAGAGCATATCGTTGCCCCATTGTTCCTCTGAGTAGGGAGACATTTTTATTTGAATTTGATTTGCCTACAGAACATTGTTCACGACGTGAATTTACAGCTGAATTTCTAAAAAAAAAATCCTAAATATATCGTCCAGGTATTGCTAAAGGTATTAAGACAATCTGTGAATGTTGATGTCTGGAGGCAGCCTTGACGTTGCGATAGTGCTGCCCGCTGTTGAGTTGCAATGGGACAAGGAAGTAGCTGGTATCTGCCAGCTCATTCTCCTCCCTTACCCTTGGTCTCTGGAGCCCTGGCACGGAGCCACTTAATTCTCAGATGATCTCCGCTGGCCATATAAACACCCGAAGTGGAGAGCGCACTTAACCGTTAAGGCTGGAACGGCGCACGATGGGAGGTGCGGCCAGTGCCACACGCGGCGTTCGCCCACTGCGCCAGCCACTTAGTTAAGGCTTAGCCCATGAAAGGCGGAGGGGGGGGGGCCCATAACAAGTCCAAATATCACTTGGCATCAATGTGCAATGGTGAATTTCTCATACGAGGCAACCGCTTCGGAAGGGTGCGTTGTTGGAGGGGTGTCGTGCACTCGCCAACGAGACCCTAGCCATGTCCATAACCCCAAGCACCGCCCCTGGTGCTTAACCCAGCCTGCCCTTTCTTTACATTTGAGACGCTTTTCACTTGCGGCGGCCAATGCACCCAGTGCCGATGAACGTCTTGAAAATCAAAGCAGTAAAAAAAAAAGGGACATTGGACGGAGTGATCGCCTGCAACTGACGTCGCGTCCAAGAAACTTCACGATTATATATATTTTTCTTCTGCATAGCCTCTGAGCACCATCAAATAACGCGTTCGCGTCACGTAACCGAACGTTGCGGTTAAGAGAGTTGTGATGCACATGTTTTTTTTTTACTCGGCTTTGTTGTTGTTACCCATTGTGTGTGGCGTTGGCAAAACGCGAGTGTGCGCAAGTCCAGTATAGCCAGTTTAAAATCTTACCCGTTGTGCTGTTAAGTAGTAAAGCCAAATTTACGTGCATGTCAACATTTCACACCGCCGGTTAACTGATCTTCTGTCTGTTCTCTGCTCATTTAAATGCAATTGTTGCTCATTTGAACTTAATGTATGTGATATAAGTCGCAGTCCTTTATTTAAGCCGAAGAGAGTACACTGGAATCTATTGTACTGCCAGAGAAGACGAAATAGCATCGGCTAGGCAGAGACGGATAGTAGTCACTGCTTGGATTTTGGTTGTAGGCCATTTGTAAACTTGGGATTTGGGTCTTGTAACCTCAATATGCAATTTGTGCCGAGAATAACCAGATGCCCACTGCATTTGCTATATAATACTGCAATGTATGGCCCTTTACCAAAATCCGCTGCTGGATGAAGGCCTCCCCATGCCTGCAGGTCATGTGGGGGTTGTGTGACCATACTTCACCAGGCTGGTCAGTGCGAATTTGTGAAGGTGGTATGCAGAACCAGTTGAGATATCACATTCTACTGGGTTCATCGCACAATACGTTAACCACTGTGCCACCGCTCCATTCGGTTATACAGTATCCAATAAAAAAAATGTTGCCCTTTGTCACAAGACTCTACCATTGGGTATGGGTGCAATACCATAACTCCTAAAATTAAAACCGAAAACTAAATTCTGCATAAGGGAGTAACGGAGACCCAGGTCGTCTCCTTTGCAGAAAAGATTGTGAATATGAATCAGGTAATTGCCCGATTAAATAAAGGACATCGACTTAAACGCTTGACCGTATATTATTTTACACACTGGAGGATTGATAATATAATGCCTTTAGTGTTTAAAATGTAATTAACAAGGAAAAGGGGGGGGGGAGAAAAGCAACAGTCCTCATTCCGTTTGCAGTAATTGCCAAACGTTATCAGATGAACGTGCCTGGTTCTGTCCACTCCGCAGCTAAGCTCACCCTGCAGTAAAGGAAGCGTCTCACCCGCTGCATGTGAATCGTATGAAATTGTGGTTCTGATCTCGAGGAGCTTGGCTCTGGACCCCTTACCCCCCCTGGTGCGCATCTCTCGTCCCTCTGTGCCTGTGTAGACAGTGTTTTTCTTTTCGGTATTTTTGCACAGACTTTGTCTATATATGTAATCGTGTTTTTTTTTCCCAATATGCTTTCGCAATCGATTACCCTTGTACAGAACTGTTAAAAAGTTTGTAAAAATTAAATGTTAAATAAATAAGTGAATAAATACTGTATATGAACACACAATTTCAAACATTTACGTAACTTTCAATTTTTTTTTTAACCAAGAGTTTGCTTTCTTTCGGGGCGAAGTGAAGTCCTGGAAATTCCTCCACCAGCGGACACCACATAAGGGATTTAGCCCTAGAGAAAGAGACGTTACAGAACTACTGGAGAAGTCCCTTCATTCGGCTTCTCGCCCAACGCATAAATCTGGTCGGGTGCTGCTGTGCCAGAGTGAAACGATGATTCACCATCGGATTTTTGTTTGCGAGAATTCAAACCCTGCGCCTGGGGCTCAACCTCGTCCAACATCTCTCCATCATCATCAGCCAGGATCTATCCACTGCTGCATGAAGGCATCCGTACATTTTTTTTTTGCCATTTCTCCCAAGTTTCACAATGCAATGGTATATCTGTCTCCTGCACACGAGCTGATTCCATTGCTCCAACTCCGTGACGAACTCCGTGACAGAAATCCTCTCGGTGCACGTTTCCTCCATTGTCTGCCACTCCGTCTTTAATCTTGACCACTGGTCCTCATCTCTTCTATCAAAATTCCCTACCCAAGCCCAATGACTTTGTTCACAGGCAATATGCTATCTGTAACTTGTGTGTGTCCCGCCTCTGAGTGTACTTCCAAACATGCAGCTGTCCATGCTTCTTTGTGTACCTTGCATCGTCGCTGATGTGCCTAACCGGTGTATATTACCTGCTATGACATGAATCATAAACATGGATATCGACAAATGCATTTGAACAAAAACATTGCTCCAGTGTGGATAAAATAGATACCACTTTGTGGGAAAGCAGCAGCGTTTGTCCTGTGGACAGACAGAAATGTGGAATTTTCACTACTGCCAAAAGAGGTGAACACTGCTTCACATTTAGAGGGATAATGGCCTTGGGGTTTGTTTTAAAATAATGCAAATATATTAGTGACGTCTTCTTGGTTCTTTAGTGACGTGTTTGTTTACATATCAACGTGACCGCCAGCAACTCGTTGACTTCAGCCGGGAAATCTGAACAACTTTAGCATAAATCTCTGAAGCTTCCCTCTTGCAACAACACAAAAACCCCTGATTACTCGCATTCTGCTCTTTTCACGTGTCTTGCTCCTGATTTGCACGCTGATTTAGCCATTGTGCCCCTCCACGATGAACGTTTGCCACCGTTTTACCGTTTTGTGCAACATCGCCTTCCTAGGGTAAATGCGCCTTGTGTGCATTATGTTTCGAATGGGTCCGAACTGTGTTGGAGTCATTTTTTTTTGCCGTGCCTGAGCTTGGGTGCGCTCAATTTTCTCGCAACGCGGAAGTGTCCGCCAATCATTGTTCATGGGCTCAAGACCAGAATCATAAGGTGACACGTGTGGCGCGGTTTTCACTGCAGCACGTGGAACACCGCCGAGTTTCCTTCAACCTCGTGACTACGCAGAGGCGAAAGATTGCTGGTATTGTTACTTTTGAAAGGTAATCTCCAATGTCAATTTCACGAGCCTTTAGTTTCTAAACAAAGTATTAATGTATTCCTCTAACCACCCAGTTACATCCCAATTATGCTGTTGCTATCGTGTGGTGATGAATTTCCATGAAGAAATTTCACAGAGCCCGCGGTAGCAGATGACGTAGCAGAACTACTTCTGAAGTCAATTCAATTTACCTCTTTGTCCAGAATAGGGGCACATCTTGTTGAAAAAAAAAGTTTAAATTACACGTAATGTTTATTGGCACAATTGTGCACGTGCGTTCGAACACACGGTTGGTTCAAACGCACGTGCGTTTGACGGTGTAAGGTTGCGTTTGACCGTGTAAGGTTGCCCAACACACGGCTGGAGATGTCTTCAGCCTCGTGTGCAGTGTCATGTCATCTGCATGTGCGTTAGTGTTTTTGTTTCCACTTAATTGTACGGTCCACTCTACTTATAACGATATACAGTATAATGAGAATGTACGACTATGGTCACGTGGGGAGCATCCATACATCTTAAGTTTGTCGGATAAAAGGTACCAAAATTGATGTTTAACAAAAAAAAAACAATGTAGTGTGATGGATTTTTTTTTTCAATCATTGGTGGCTAGGCGGAGACCATCAACTTGCTTCACTTGAGGACGCACGTTAATTTGGGCGCAAGATCTCAGAAGTGCTGGCTCGGCATTCTAAGATTGCATTAGCTCTCCTAAGCCACCTCCTAATGGCTCGCTTGCTGACTGCTGATGCATTCAGCCACCTTGGCGTGGCAAATATTGAAATGGGAAACGTAGGTTTAGTGAAAGCAAAAGTCAGCAAAATGTTACGTGCTTTCAAATACGCAATTACTCACTTAGGCTTAGAGAAATAGGCCAGTGTGCAATTGGTATATGCCTTGCGCCCTGCGTCTCTGCATCACCACTAATATTATTTAAATTACATTTTGCTCTTATATGTCATCAGACATTCGGGAGATAATCTAGGTTATGATTTCCCCCTCCCCCTTAAATCAAGGACTGTAGACAGACTCTCTGTAAAACTGGCCAAACATCCCGAGGGTCTGCGCGCGTGCACGTGAACAGCCCTCTTGTCAACCCCGTGCTGGATGAGGGGGGCCTCCCCATGGGGGTCAAAGGGCGTTGAGTAACCATACTTTACCACGCTTTTCAGTGGGGGCGATGAATTTGGGGAGCAGAGATTTGGGAGCATAGAATACAGTGCAACAATGGGTCATGGCTGCACTGCCCTCTGTGGCACCCCGCAGCTCCATGATAACCTATCTAAGCACTATCCATGATGTCTCACTTGGGTGTCAATTCAGCCCTTCACCCCTCTGGGTTGAACAACACGTACTACTCTGTTGCACGTTGCCATTGGTTTTCCTGTGCATTGCCTTGCCGCTGCCATAGGAATGTGGAATATCCTGCAATATGTGAAAGCCACAGTGAAGATGAGAGCTGCTCTGCATTGATTTATGGAGACACTTTTATCCTCCCATCTTGCATGAAAGCACTAAAAACTAAAATTTTGACTTTATTACGAAACAATGTTTTTGACCAGGTGATGCTTTCACTACAAAGTCTTAAGCCATGTGACCCAGAAACATGTAAGTGTGCGGTCCGCATTCAGCTCGCAGGATGCTGTGAGAATCCAGGCTATTGGATAGACGTGGGAATGCAGCATCAGTGCACTCTGATACCAAGCAAATGTAACAGCTCACTGATGTGAATTCATGGCACCGACCCATGCGTTATGGGTTTCCTGTTTAATACCAACCGGGTCTCAATTTCACCCCCTCGCTGTGGCTGAGCTGCCTGATTCACTGCTGCAAGCATCCCTCCTCTGCCTTCTGTTATTTACGGAGGGTGGCTGCTGCCAGCATGGCAGAGGCATCACTCACATGCTTCCCACGTGGAGGACAGGCTCACTCGTTTATAACTCCCGTGTAACAGTTGCCCACCGCCTCTAAGGCCTACGTAATTTAAGTACACCAGCTCCCGTTCATTATTTCCACATACAAATATCACATTTAGTCTCTGGGCCTAATGGCCTTCCAGATTTAGGTAATAAAATATGTTAACAAGCACATTTGTTTAGACATGCAAACTTTGCTTGGTCCGGAGTTTATATTTTCAAAATTATGGAAGGGCAATAGGCAGATGGACTGAATAATAATGAATGTTTATCAGGAGGTATGAGACGGTATATGATTAAGGTATTGCCCGTGATGTTCCACAGCAAATGCCGGATGGGATTTTAAACAACTGTGGTATCATAGGACGCTGTCTTTCCGACAGCCCTGTTCTTCACCTGAGGATGGCTGCTTGCGTTGTGGCCGAAACGTTGTGAGAATTGCATCTTATGTTTTATTTGTATTTTTTTATTTCCCTTCTACGTGACTTTACTGAAAGAACCAAGAATATGTGATATCATAGTTCACTCTCACACTCGCACTTTTTGACACAACTTCTTGCCATTAGTGAGCACCCATTAAGGCTGCCATTGCACACGACAGGGTCACATGGCTAGAACAAAACGTGCTTAGCTGCCTTTGTCCCCCAAAAGATTATGTTCACGCATCATGTCAGGTTAGTTTGTAACGTTTTCTGTTAGCCAGCTGGGCCAAGATCGGAGCAAGCCTTTTCACCCTGGCCGAACATTAAAATTCGCAATGGCATGTTTAAGAATCACGGTTGAGAGACAAGAGGCATATATATGTTGCACACTCGAGATGAAGGAACGTGGGCAGGTGCTCCAAATCGAGGGCAAGCACATTTATTTATTGTGGTTCATATGAATCTTGGGAAGAACAGCACCGTCACTCTGTTAAATGCAACAACGCGTGTGTTACACGCAGCAAATCTTCCGAGACGCCATTAACCATGTGGCTGGTTTACACGTGCGGTTACTCATTAACCCTGCCAGCCACCTACAGGTCTGACTCAGACATTACATGCTGCTGTACACACGTGCTGTTGATGCATTGCACAGCACATCAGGACTTTCACAGAACCACACTTTACTCCCTTGCTGCACAAGGACACACTTAAACGAGTGATCCATTCCTGATGTGCCACATATATTATAAAAAAGATTTTTTTACAATTGTTTTACTTAAAATCTCGTCAATGGTCCTCATACTTACCCAGGACACTGTT